GGGTGAGGGTGAGGGGTGGAGGTGGGGTGGGTGGGGGCGGGAAGGCGCGAGCGGGTCGGGTCTGGATATAGATCGCCGCGCGTTTGTAGGTGTGGAAGGAGATGAGGAGCGGCGCAGGAAGAAAGCGAGGATGCAGGCCAGGAGCGCGGTGAGGGCGAGTAAGGAAGGGTCGATGTGAGGAGGGAGAGGCAGCATGCGCGCCGCCCGATCAGAGTGCGCGCGCACGGTGCCGAGGTGCGATCTCAGGGTTGGGATATCGCGATCGGCCGGGCCGGGCCGGGCGCTTGTGGGCGCTTGTGTTTCGATGTGTTGGGGCCGCAATGGTATGTGCTGTCTGTGTACCAGCCGAGCGCGCTTTGGCCGTGTGTTGGACACAAAGTGACACGAGAGGTATCAGCGAATGTCCCGGGCCTAACAGGGACGCGAGGACAGTTGTTATATTCGTATACCGTATCGTATCGTATCGTTTCATTCGTATGTACTACCAAACCATCCCCGCAGCAGTGTCCCGATAAAAGCAGAAAGCACCGTTCGAAATCGTAAAGCATCGCACATGAAAAGCGTCGTGTCTATACCACAGCAGCGCGCAGAGTATGATGAAGAGAAAGGGTGGATGAGGGAGAAGAAGGGAGAAGGCTATCGCAGCGACGACGGCCACTCCCGCCTCGGCAGCCACCGCCCCTGCCTATCGAACCGCGGGTTGCGCTCCCATTTGAGGCCGTCGCTTGGGGACTTTCCGATCGGCACTGCATACACAGTCAGTATCTCATAGTTCACTTTCGTATCTCTCTCTCGAGCTGAAAAGCGGAGGAGACGGAGCGAGAGGAGGAGGGAGCAAGGGAAGGAAGAGGGGTAGGGAGAGCAAGAGAGAGAAGAGAAGAGAAAAACGCACAAGCCCAAGCCCACACGTTCCGCCCGAACACCATCTCCCAGTGGTACCGCGCGCCCCCGACGTTCCACAGGTGGCCCTCGCGGCCTATGCGGCCCCATTCGGCGTCCCACTCGGCCTGCCGCGCGCGTTTCGCCCTGGGCCCCACAATGTCAGCATCTTCTCTTTCACACGGTCGACGAGAGACGACGGGGAGAGGAGAGGGGAGAGGAGATGGGGGAGACTGGGGAAGGGGTATGGGGTATGGGGTACATGGGGGAGAAGAAGAAGGGCATACCGGAACTGCGTCCACCCAAACTCGCTACTAAGCACGGCGCGCTCGCGCTCCTTCATGCTCCGCAGCGCGAGCTGCTCGACGGTGCTCATGTTCAGCAGCACGAGCGCCGCGTGCATGCCGAGCAGGCTGCCGGTGAACGTCGCGAAGAGGCCGCCGAGCGCGAGGGTGACTATTTGTTGCGGGTCCACACTTTATCATCCACGCGTTAGCATCAGTCGTCAGTCGTCTGCGGTGCTCGAGGAACACGAGGACTGGGGAGGCACAAGGACTGGGGAGGGAGGGAGGGAAGAGAGGGAGGGAGACGCACTGTCTGTCGGGTCCGGACGCCCGCCGCGCGACGAGCGCGAGCACGGCGACGAACGTGAAGAGGCTGTAGAGGAAGCTCCAGAAGAGGAAGAGCACGAAGAAGCGGTGGTTGCGCGCGCCGACGCATTGGCCGATCCACGGGCAGTGGTGGTCGAACTGCCACTCTCATTAGCAGGCCATCTTCAACGCACAAAAGATAGAGGGGAGGGGAGATACCTTGAGCACGCACGTCCCGCACTGCCGACAATGGTGCGTCCGCGGCGGCTTGATGATCCTGCAGCGCCGGCAGTAGCGGTACTCGGGCCGCAGGACGGGCGTCGGCGCCGGCGCGCGCGTCGTCGCGTCCCAGGGGTCCGCCGGGGACGAGTCGTAGTAGGAGCCTTTTACGGTTGCGTCGTGTCTGTGTCCATTTGCGCTGTGTCCGTTCGTCGCGCCATTGCCGTGAGAGGTGCCATGCCCGTTCGAGATCCCATTGCCGTTGGAGATTCCGTTGCCGTTAGAGATCCCGTGGCCATTGGAGGCGCCGTGTGAGGACCCGACATAAGCGTACCCGCCCGCATCAGGCGCAGCGTTCGCGGGCGGCTTCTCAGCGAGCGGGTTGAGCGCTGCGAATGTGTGCGCTGTGCCGTGCATTCGCTCTGGGCGGGCGTCGGCGGTCACCGCGGGCCTTGGCGCGGGCGCATCATCTTTGCGCGCTGAAGGGGACTGGTGGGCAGAAGGTGATGAGTGAGAGGGGGGAGGGGGCTGTGGCGCGGGCGGCGGACCGGGCCGCGTAGAGGTGTACGGTACGCCGAGCGTGTCGTGTGTATGTGTGCGGGAGGGCGGGACTGCGCGCGCGTCGGAGGGGATGCGTGGTGCTAGGGGTCGGAGGCGGTGCGAGTGTCGATGTGACGTTGAGGGGGCTGGGGTTGGGTTGGAGGGAGGGGAAGGCGCGGGTTCGGGCTCGGCGTCGGAGTCTTCGCCGTCGGTCGAGGGCGCGTCGGGCGGGAGGTCTTGTTCGGCTTCGACTGTTTTCACGTGCTGTGTGGTGTGTGAGGGGTTAGTGGGTGGGGGAGAGGGAAGGGGACGGACGTCTGTTGCGTAGCCTGGTGATGTTAGGATTATCTGTGTTTGAGTTTGAGTATTGAGTTGTAGGTATGGCAGGAAGAGCTGACCTTGATGTAGCTCCAGACCATCATCACGAACAGTATACACCACCCCACTAACAATCCAACTTTATATCATCAGCCTCATCCGGAATTCGATTTGAGTGAAGTCACTCACCGCCCTCACCAAACCCCGCAACCCCCTCCTCCCTCCTAATCCCGGGCACACACACGCGCCCCACGGCGACGTAGAACGTGTACCCCATGATCCCGCCGCACACGCCGATCGTCATTTTGCGCGCGAACCACGGCTGCGGCTTGGAGGAGCGCCGCGCGCGCGCTTCGTCGACCATCTCTCCCAGAGACTTGATGCGCGGGCGTTGGGTGGCGCCGCGCGCCATGTTGTTGGGTATGAGAGGTATTGAACGTGATGTGGGGTATGAAGATGTTGGGAGAGGAGATGGATGGTGGGGAGAGGAGGCGTGTGCTGAGCGAGCGGGTGTGACGTCGTAGGAACGGCGTGCGACGGAGTTAACGGATTTTAGGCTTGCCGGCGGGCGCTCCGAGCTGCGAAGCGCCCGAAAGGCTTGCTCCTGACTTCCATGTTGTCCTTCCTACTGAATAGACGTCGTTTTATGCTCTGCGCGGGTGGCCGGATGCATACCTATAGCAACGCGCTGGCGTGCTTTTGAATTTATATTCTTGGGTTGAAAGCATTGGCTCAGGGCTTCGCAGATTCGCGACAAACATGCAATGCGACTACTATATAATGAAATAATCATGAGTCCCTAATACAATCAAATCCGTCACTCATATACAGAGTTGATACGCAGGCTCGCTCGACAGTCCAAGTCTTACACCGCAATCGGGACGTGGAAGGTGCCGGTATATGCCCCGTTGGCAGCGTAGCATGCGACGGTGACATGGTATCCCTCCGTCGGGTCCTGGCCGCCCGCGTGTACAGTGCTCCTATTGACCGCGTTTCACCGACAGCCTCGAGCAGTAGAAGATATGAGCTTACCGGATCTCGACCGAGGCAACATATGGGCTATAGGTCACGGCGTACACAGCGACGAGCGACTCGATCTGCGTCTTCATCGGATCTCCTCTGTATGGGTTCCTGAGAGCAGAGTCCCACGACAGCTTGAGAGGCATGGTGCGATGAGTTGATGGGGTGGAGGTGGACTAGCTTGATAGGTCGTGGTTATTGGCGTTGAGGATCGAGAAGGGGAGGAGTGGGAAAGTGGTAAGCGGTTGTGTTATTTAAAGAGGATGGAGGGCCCACTATTTATACTTCTTTCGACCAGTGGAAGCATACAACTACAAAGCACGCTCTCTAGACACGGCAGCTCACCAGTATCTCCTACCTGTTGTCCTGCAACCTGTTTCATCTCGACCGCGGCGACCGAACCCTGGCGCAACAAGGGTCACGCAATGCATACCAGTGGCTCAAGAACAGTAGCCTTCGCACTGTTTCCCTTTAGCAGGGCTTCCGGAAGACAAGAACGCAAACCACCGCTGATGGTATCGCTTCTCCCAAGGTCTGTGATCCGAGAGAGTTCATCGCTGCCGCTGGTATGGAACAAACGTCCTGTCACAGCATACTCAGGACGTCGTTTTCAGCGGAAATACATCCCGTTCTTCACGACCGGTTGTTCTTCTTTCGATGTGACCACCGCCACCTTGTCCTAGAACAGCAGAGCATTGGTGTGCGTCCGCTTCTGCGAGGATGCTGGAACTGTACGCGCAGGTGTCTAACGTGCGATATGGACTTCGTCAATGGTTAAGAGCATCGACACTTGAGGCCCTTGGGGACTTGTAGATTCACGACGAAGATGTGTTGTGACCGTATTGGCGCATCGCGCCGTATCAGGGCCGTACCGCGACGTCTGAGAACAAGATCAAAAGCTTTCCCAAGGCAGAGCGCGACTTCGATCCCTTGTTTGGAGCCTGAGTTAACCTCACACGCAGATCGTGACTCGTCGAGGGTATCGGCCCACTTTTTTCTCGGTCTTATCAACCTCGTCGGCACTCCCGTGAGTCACATATCTAGGCCCTAACTTCGCGCTGTTGGCCATCTCTTCCGTAGCTCGGGCGAACCCATTCGTGACAGTCATGGGACGGCCGGAGCCCGTCTTCGCTTAACGCGATAGGGAAGCTGAAGCGGGGTGCGCGACGTTTCTGTCTATCTAGAAGACGTGTTGCTGAACGACGCCCTCTTCACAGTTGCAACATAAAATGGCATTGGAGACAACACTAATTCCCGAGATTCAAATAGCAGAGTCAAGTCCGTTGCCCGTATAGAGCTGGTATAGAGGCCCGCTCGACGGTTCCCGTCGCCGACGGCCTTGCTTAAGCACGCGTGCATCTACATCGGGACATGGTGAGTACCGATGTACTTCCCGCTGCTGTTGAAGAACGCGACGGTTACATGCTGTCCCTCCGCCGAGTCGGTGCCGCCCGAGTGTATAGTGCTCCTGCATATCACTCACGTTCAACCAACAGACACCAAGGGTAGGAGAGAGGGACACATACCTGATCTCGGCACTTGCGGCACCCAGGTTGTTGTTCGCGGCGTACGAAGCAACGCGGGACTCGATTTCCGCCTTTGTCGACTTGGACTTCTTGTACGGGTTCTTGAGATCGTCGTCCCACGACAGGCTGAGAGGCATCGTGTCTTGGTTTGAGGGGTGAAGGTGGTAGATTGGGTTGCTAGAGCGTGTTTATTGGAGATGGAGAGGATAGAGAAGAGGTGCGGTGCTTACCGTTGATGTGAGGGATGAAGAGGTGAGCGGTACTGGCTTTTTGCAGATCGAAAGGCTCGCAATTTATACTTCTTTCGACTGGTGGCACGCAGTCGCAGGACACGCTCTGAAAAGCAGCTCAGCAGTATTTCCCGTTTGTTACCCTGGAATCCGTTTCACCTCGACCGCGGTGGCCGAATCCTGGCGCAACAAGGGCCACGCTGCATATGGCCCAAGGACAACCGTACTCGTTCTGCCCACCAGTAGCAAGGCTTCATCGAAGTCAGATTGTAGGTTGCCATGGGTTGTGTCGCTTCTTTTGGGTTCTATGGTCCGAGGAATCTCAGCGCTGCCGCCAGTATGGAAGAGACATCCCATCTCGCCATGCCCAGGATATTGTCTTCAGCGAAACTTCACACCGTTCTTCGCGACCAGTTGGTCTACGTGCGATGTTATCGTCCGCCATCTCGGATCCTAGAGCGACGCCACAGCAAGTTCGGCATCGACAAGTGTTCGCCTTTTGTTTCTGAGCCGGTGAGGCCGACAACTTGGCGTTTCATAGTATTCGCGTACATGGACTGTGATGATGGACAGACACCATTCCGGTCGACAAACTACAGCACGTTGTAAGCGCGCGGCTTTCGAAGAGCTATGCATCTTCACCTCAGGTCCGGTGCCTCCTTTCATGCCATGCCGCATCATTCACTGAAGTGGATGATCGCGACGTCCTAGCATACACGACGCAGAGTTCTCGTGCACGCGTTATGACTCCGGCGCGATCGTCTGAAGAACGATGAGTTCAACGTCGTTGTATGCAAACAGCACCATTCCATCGTTGGAAAGCAGCGAAGCTTGGGTCAGACACAAGGTACCAGGGTGCTCCGACCGGCCAGTCCTACTCACCGAGAATAACAAGGAGATGTTCTGGTTTGGGCAGATCTGAACACGACTGTGCGCTACGCGATTGCGGTCTTCATGCTGGCACTACTATAATACCTCAGCAACGAATAGGAAAATGGCTGAAAGAGTTACAATAGTTAGAGCACGAACAGTACGAACCCCGCGTCCACTCACACGCTACTCGAACTCGTAGCCAGGGTGAAACGCAGAGTCCAACACCATCCTCGGACCTTGAATCATCATCCCACGTTATCGATCCAAGGTATCGCCGCGATGAGTGAGAGCATCTCATACTAGCTCGATCTGTACATCTAGACTAGTTCGAGTATAATAGCGCATGGTGGCACAAGGACTGAGAAACGCGAGAGAAACGGCAGGCGCGTCGCGCGGCGTCGCTTTCGGCGTTCTCCGTTGATGCATCCACGCGGCAACACGTCGTGCGCGCGTCGTCATCGAGGCGAAGGTTCTTCCCATACACCCATCGCGCAGTACAATAAGCTTGGTGGCTTCAATGGCATGTTCAGCTTGCACCTGTATGCGATATAACGCGTGGGTACATGCCAGGCTCGGGTTAGACGGTAATCACGAGAAGTCCGGCGTCGGGGCGATCCGAGCTCGTCGGATGAGGGACAGGCCGTTCTGCCAGAGAACAAAAGTACAGAGGCTGGGAACAACGTCAGTGTCCCAAAATGGTAAGCTGAAGACTCATGGGCTAGCTGGTACTGTAGAGCCACCTTCCAGAACGGTGGTACGCGATCTGTTGAGGGGTGGTGACGAGAGGTACTTATTCCTGACGGCCACCCGACGAACTTCGTCCAGACCACCATCTACCACACTACACATCCGCCAGACGCTATCTGACTCCGACGCTCTGCTATCATCGTTGATCTATCTCTCAACTCACACTCTCAGTACCGCCTCGATGTCGGATGAACGCCAACCACAAGTTGCTGCTTCGGCGATCCCAGACGCCCAAGAGATGGAGGTGCCGCCTACCACCGAGGATTTTGTCCTGGAGCTCTCGCCAAACTCGGTTCTCAATGAACGCTATCGCATCGTGGAGAAGCTTGGAGCCGGGCAACACTCTACTGTCTGGCTTGCGAAGGACACAAAAGCCGACTCGTAAGGAAGTCACTCCACACGCCGAACCTTGCTGACGAGCTGCCACAGTCCCGATACCGTCTATGCCATCAAGGTCTTGAATACAATTGCGACTTCATTGCAGGGCTCCATCGCCCATGAGCTTGAAGTTCTGCAGATAATCAAAGAGACAGCTGTGCGGCTTCCTGAAGCTACCGGTGCTGCGCACGTCTTGCAGCTTCTGGACCACTTCACGGTGACATATGCCCACGGAAGCCACCTCGCGCTGGTGATGCCAGTCCTCGGCCATAGTCTTCAGGAGCTTCAAGGGCGCTTCGAGGATCGCATGATTCATCCTAATCTCGTGCGGGACGTCATCCGCCAGCTCTTGGAGGCGCTGGTGTTCTTACACGATGAGTGCAAGGTTGTCCATACAGGTCGGTCATCATATCTCATCTCAGTTCTGGGCATGCGTCTGAAGGTATATCAGACATCAAGCAAGACAACCTGATGTTGAACGACTATGGCGGCCAGGATAAACCGGCCATGGGAACTGCATTCGTTCTCACCGATCTCAGTACTGGTTGGTACAGTGTCATATCATGTCATCCCATGCTCATTTGCAATTCTATAGCTGAACCGGAACACGGCGAGCATAAACGACTTATTCAGCCTGAAGCATTGAGGTGCCCCGAAGCTGCGGCCAATCTAGAATGGGGAACAGCAGCGGACATCTGGAACGTAGGATGCCTTGTATGTCCCATCCAGTCATCCGTGCATGATGGATGTTGAATCCAGATGATTAGGTGTTCGAACTTATCACCGGGAAAATCCTCTTTCCCGTTCAAGACTTGCGAAACGAAGATGGCGCTGTTGCGATTACACGCGACCAATGGCGGTTCGCCCACTTCTGGGCATTCGTGCGGAGACTTGAGGACACAGACGAGAAATTGTGTGCTTTCTTTTCTCGAAGTGACGTTGGACGAGCGCTCTTCGGAACTGGTAAGTCGATATAAGCTATCAGCGCTTTTCAATGTATCAAAATGCTCAATTCGCTGTCAGATGGCAAGCTGTCCGTCAATGTTGACCAACATAGATCGCTTGAACAGATACTGCTCAACTACGAGGTGGAGGACCCGGAGCTGGCCGACTTTCTGGGATGCATGCTACGGTTGCTGCCTGAGGATAGGGCGCCTGCGCGGGAACTACTGAAGCATGCGTGGTTAAGTATCGAAGACGCGATGGAGCTCAAGAGCGAGGTGGAGGATGGCGAATCTGTGGAGGCAGTTGCTCAGAAGGACCCGTGAGGCCGTTCAGTATATGTAGAACATATGTAGAGGAAGTGTCCGCCTAGACTCTGAGGTCTAATCTTATCGTATGTGTATGACTCGACTTGTAACTAGTACATATTCGATGGCCAATACCCGTCCATATAAAACAACCCTAAAGCGTGTCAACCCCCTATGCCCACAGTGTCCTCAAGGGGTGAACTCCGGCGTGCGCGTGACCGTCCTCAACTCGGTCATGGCCCGCTCGACACCACCACCGCGCCCTTGCAAGACTTTGAAGCCCGCTCTCCCCTCGTTGACAACCACGTTGCTGTGATACCGCAGCTTGGCATCTTGTGCGGCAGGAGGCAGAGCTTCATCGGGCCCGTTGAGAAGCTCGTCGAGCTCGGTGTCGCGCGCAGATGCGGCGATCGTTGAGAACGTTCGTAGCATCGCGCCACCGTTTGAGCGTATGCATGCGAGCCCGAACATATCGGCAAGGAGTGCTGCCAGTACGGCGACGCCGTACACTAGCCATAAGCGGAGGAGTTGGTAGGAGTAAACGTTCTGGTCTGGTAGCACGGTGCCCGATACCGTCGTGTAAATTCCGAGATCGGTCGTGTCGGACATCAAAGAGGCCGTGACGTTCGTACACAGGTCTTCCAGCGCTTGGCTCAGGTTGTTGTAGCCCGCGTTCAAAGAAAGGTAGGAGGTGCTGTACGGTTCGTCTACCGTGACGTTATTCTCCGATCGCACCTGGAAAAGGTTGGAATCGAGAACGCCCGTGGCGGAGGGTAAGAGGGTGCCGATGTTACCGACGAGCACGGTCCCGACGAGAGAATGGGCTATAGCGTCCATGATCCCCAGTGCGGCATAAGCAGACTGTACATCGGGGCCCATGGCCGTGAGATTGCCGGTGGTGATGTTGGCTCGAACGAGTGATGAGTATGGCTCGCCGTGATCGACGACTCTGGCAGTCCGGGTCTGACTGTCGTGCGTATACGAGATAGAGGCCTGGTACGTTGCGCTCGTAAAGACGCAGGATGCGCCTGTCGCGGGGTGGGTAGCAGAGTGGGGGTTCAGCGCATCGGCTGTATAGACGATCGAGAGCGTGTAGGGATCGGTATCCTGCCAACTGGGCAAAGAGAGGTAATAGGGAGGATAGCAATCGACGTTCGTGGTGGATCCGATACCACAGTCCGCCGCATATAAAGATCCCAAAGTCGACGAGCACGAAGCATTGAATGCGTAGCCTTGTAAGAGGGTTCCTTCCGGGTTCGAGACATTGCCATAAGGCGGATCCGGTCTGGCGCCTCCCTCCGGAAAGTTGGCCACTCCAGAAGCGATGGTCGACGCGGGAATGTCTGTGCATCGCAATGCCGGGCCGTTATACGTGATCGTGTAGTTGCAGGCCAGCCCGCATTCGTCGGGCCGACTCCAGGATGGGATCTCAAGATTACCCAGCACGTTCTGCACCATCCTTCTGAAGGCGGGAGAAGCGGACGTGTAAATGAGATCGTAATCGGTGCACTGGCTGGGGTCGCCGGGATCCGAGGTTGTGTGGCAGTTCACCACGGGCGTTATACTGTCTGTCAAGGGGACCTCGTCCAGACGTGGCACCGGAACACGCATCGTGCCCTGCGTGGGCCCGGACGGGGTGACGGACAGCGCGCTGGGTGCGAGAATCGTGATGAAGGAGAAGGCTTGGATGCAGATGACGATCATGAGCACGTAGACGGTCCCGAATGCGGCGGGAACCGACGCGATGCTGAAGATGGAGGGGAGGGAGAACAGGCTATCGAGTTCGGATAGCCTGACCGTGTGTCGCCTAACGAAGAACCAGATCTGACGAGTGAAGTCAGTATTACATCTCTAAAACTCCCAAGAGTTGCTATCTTGACGCACACTTTGAGTCAATGCGGCCCCGACTGAAGTTTCGAGTAAGATCTGCACGATGTGCGATAGCGCGTTCCCGATATCGCGAACCAATGACTGTGAGAGCGCGTAGTCTTCAACCCTCTTCCCGTTGAGAGTGGACAGAAAGATGTGGTGCACGACGGTCACGGCAATAGCAGCTATGAATGTGCCGAACATCATGACAGGAATGGCCCACGTCCCGACGCGGCGAACGTGGCGCAACATATCGACGGTAGACATGGAACGCGACGACAGGCGGGACTTGGAGAGCGCGCTTCTCCGTCCTGTCTCTTCGCAGTCATCCGACGGGACCGTTTCGTACACCGTTTGAGGTTCTCGCTTGCTGTCCCCTCCAGTGCTCGGGGTGCCGGGAGAGGACGACATGAGTGTAGACTGGTAAAGGAGCAATCACAGATAGAAATCGAAGCACAAGCGACGTCGCTTGAACCTCATCATTCAGTGCCAGCTTCAAACATAGCTGAGACGAGAGATACGGCGACGTAGGGCGTGCAGTCCATTGCCGGGCTACACGGGTTGATTTGAACAGCTCCCGGGTTGCAGGGCGTATGAGAATTCACATTCAAGACGTCTGCAGTTCATTTTCGTCACTCTGCACGGGTTTGGGCGACATTATTATGGGGCGGACGTGGGGATCCATGCAGCGGGTAGACGGCATGATGGTGGTGGGAAGACAAGTGCAGTCTGAACCTCAACCGGCGGGAAAGGCCGGTTCGAATGAACGATCCGAAGCCATGAATCCTGCGCGCACTCCCACCACCAACCCCAAGGGAGAAAGCTCGAGAAGCACACGGTACATATGTCCTGAATGCCCTCGTTGCTGTCCGTGAAGAGTGTGCGGTACTGGTTCTCTCGAGTCGCGACCGACGGAGCGTACGGCAAATGCCGGCGCGCGTTGATTCCAACCAAAGCGCAGCAGCCTGAAGCTTGTTCCTGACTACGATGGCCATTGTTCAAAGCAGGCTGGCAGACTCGCACAATTCGAAGATCCTCTGCGACCGCATAGAGATATGTCATGGGCTTACTCTGGATGGGTCTGCAAAAGCCGCCTGAATCCTCAAAGCAGAAGCTACCAAACATTGTTGGGATACCTTCAAAGCGCGCGGTACGCCGGCAGGACACTGCGACATTTCGCGAGCTAACCGCAACTTTCGGCCAGTACTGACTCTTATGGGCTGGTGGTGCTTCCACCCAGCTCGAAGGATGAGTCTTGCGGATTTCGTGCACGGCGCCGACAAGGGCCGTGCTCGTCAACCAGATTTCCAGGCTCTCGTCGTGATGTTCCTCTTCTCGTGATGTCGATCACAGACATTACATGTCGATGCATTGGATTGCACCCGCGCATATCCACTTCACGCAAACGCCGATTGCCATCTGTCATTGGGGACGTTCGGGCATGACTCGGGCATTGTTCGGGCATGCTACGGGTACCCATGTCGATGTCTTATGGCCGTTGGGCTATTCGACGTTCACGGCGTTAAGACCGCGGAGATTGTGCCGCTGGACCCCTGCGGCATTGTGCGAGATTCGACATGGCGTCCGGCAGCAAGATGTGCGACATCCACCTTAATTGAGCCGGTTCGCCAACCGTACTGGAACTGACTTCGAAGGGTATATATGATGTAGGTCTTCGCAGGGGAGACGCCACTCAACAGTCTACAACTCGACTCATACAGTATGGACTTCGACTTCAGCAAGATCATCGGCCTCGATGAGGTCGCGCAATTCACCGCCAGACACGAGTACGCATGTCCCGACGTCTGTATATGCATTGTACGTGCTCACCCAGTGTATTACAGGCTTCAGAAGCGGCTCGATCCGGCGCAAGCCTGGAAGTCCCAAGCGTACAAGGACAAAGTCGTGATCATCACCGGAGGCGCGACCGGCGTAGGCGCAGGCATCGCCACGACTTATGCCCGTGCCGGAGCGAATCTCGTACTCGTCGGGCGCAGGAAGGCGAAGCTTGAGGAGAAGAAGGCCGAGATCACCAAGGAGCTTCCCAACGCGCGCATCGAGCTCGTTGATGGCGACATCTCGCAGCCTGATGTGCCCAAGCGCGCCGTCGAGGCCGCCGTCAAGGCCTTCGGACGCGTCGATATCGCCATTGCCAATGCTGGCACGGGTACCCCGCCTCTTTACCGTATCGGCGATAGCAACCCTCTCGTGTGGCGTGCCGCTGTGGAGACGAATATCTTCGGGACGTACGGTCTCGTCAACGCCGCGCTTCCTGAACTTGTGAAGACTACCGGGCAGATCATCGTTACAGGCTCTTCGGGCGCTTTTCTCCGTTTTCCTCTCGGATCTGACTATCTTGTAAGTTGGGCGGTCGTGCCTTCTCGCGCTTCAAAGTCTCTGGAGTTGAACGGTTGGATAGGTCAGCAAGCACGCCCTCAACAGGCTCGTTGAACTCCTGGCCGTCGGTACGTCGTCACGGACCTCGGCCGTGCTATACAGATCTAACGATCATTTGCATTCAGAGTACCCCGACATCAAATCCTACATCGTACAGCCCGGGGAGATCGTCACAGAGCAGTCGCTCAAGGCCGAGGAAGCCTCGGGTATGAAGTTCCCGCGCCAAGATACGGCCGAGAACGCCGGGGCGTTCTACTTGTGGCTCACATCTCGCAATGCCGAGTTCCTCAGTGGCAGGTACGCTTCTCTCGCGCACCCTGTCTAAAGCGTTGCAGATGTTGACGAAAGGATCTGTTAGATACGTGGACGCTACTTGGGACGTCGAAGAGCTGTTGGCGAAGAAGGATGAGATCGTGCGGGACAACTTGTTGGTGGCGAAGCTCGCTGGACCAGCTCGCAAATGAGATGTGCAAAGCGGTAGTGGAGTTAGAGCTTATTAAGCATTAGTGTGAAGCATTAGGAATGTGATGATGGTATCGTGAAGCTTGCATGGTCGTGGCGCTTGTACGGTCAATAAGGACACGTAGGAGTCGAGACTCCAGGGTATCTTTTTGTGTATGGTGAAGGTCAGGCTCAAAAGTGGGGACAGCGCTTGATGCTCAGTGTGCGATAACTACGAAGCACTCTCCTTGGGGTCATGATGGTAAGAGGACAACCGACGCGTGAAGTTCGTGTGCGCGCGTGGCGAGCCGCAAACGTGTGACGACCGCGTCGAGACGCGTCTACCGTACCGCAAGATCGTAACTTGCCTCTTGCCATATCCTCACTATGTCAAAGTCACCAGAGTCGTACCATTACCTATCTTTGGCTTGTGAACCTCCTATTACAGATGAGATTACCTTGAGGCTTGCCTTGCAAGACGCGCTTACTGCGACATTTGGCCTCGTGTACGCCGGCGCGCCTATCGACGTTCGCTCGATGTCTTCGCGCGGGAAGGCAGGACGAGAAGTTGTAGTGATCAGGGTTGCATCGGGGTACGCATGCGGATGGACTACTGTACTCATGACTCAATATCTGACTGGCTTGTCTAGAGATGTGAGGAGGATCACGGCCGCCGTCACGGCGTACAATACACCCGGACGTTCTCGATTATCCGTCGTGGAAGATACTGTCACAGTACCTGCCGAGGATATCTCAGCAGTACCAGATGTCAATGCAGTTCATGAGTGACGGTTGTGCGAAAACTCTCACTTGCCCGAAGACTTCATCAACTTCGATTGCTCGAGATTGCCCGGCAGTGACGAATGGCCAGAAACCGGCGAGTCAACGACTCAACCGCGGGCCAACTCCTTTCTGGACGACCGTATACGTACCCATCAGATACATGCCATTGAGCACACACTGCTTGCAGTGGGCAACCCACAAACCCTCGAACATTCGCTGCCGGCAAAATGTTCACCTGATTCGGCCGCATCTGCCTGCGCGCAGTCTTGAGACACTCTATGACCAAGTCATCAAAGGCGTGGCCGGCCTCTCAGAGCGGGTTGAGCGCCTGTATTGCCCACATTCGGATATCTACGTTCTCTTTTGGCGCCGTCAATCTGCTCGGCGATCAAACTGGATGCGTGCTGGAAGTTTGTCCTCTCCCGGAGTCCAGTCGCGGGCCGCTCGGTGTACTCCCTGCCCCCTTGAGCGACCCATGCGCGTCTAGTACGGAACTGCCTTCTCCCCGGATCCACCTGGCCAACGATAAGAACATCGTCGTGGTTACGCCACCCTTGACTCGTCGCGGAGTAGAGGCTTCCGGCACTCTTGGAAGATGCGCGCCAGCCTAGTTTGGATATACCTGCGCCAGATCGCGCGAAAGCAAATCAGCCACACCCTACGTGCGACCGATGAGTTGCTGGAGTGGCTCTGCACTCATCGTCCCTCTGCTTCAAGTCTGCGGCACGGCGTGCTTGTCGGAACTCTACGAACCACGCCTCTGTCAGATAGGGATTGCCGCTGCTTTCCGAAGACCTCCAGAGGATGCGTGCTGCGGCGCCGGTGTTTTGACCGGTGACTTGGGTGTTCTAGTGAGCGAAGCTTCTACCGGACTGCGTGCCCTCACTGATTGGTACCTGGATAGATTGGCTACGGCAAGGAAAGATCGATTGCAGGCCGGCTAAGCGCTCTCACGCTTCTCATGCCATGTCACATCTCCCGAACGATCTTCGACGATCTCCTCGTTCTTACTATCCTGTGTACTTTTCAGACGAGACACTCCAATGCAATGCTATTCTCCTACGGACACGCAGCCTCGATCGCGCGCTGAGATGCGGGTTGCTCGGCAAACGCGGTCAGAAGGAAGCTACTTTGGTGTGCGTTAGTTCCGTCGGCCGTGACTTCGCGCTCTGATGATGACCTTGAGGCCATACAGCGTCATGCCTCTCTGGGTACTGGCTGACAGCACTCGCGCGCCCGAGCGCCTTGGGAAAGCTTCTTTCCGATAGCTTATGCCGCGAGACTGCATAAAGGGAGACAGCCGGGCGCCGCCCTTGCAAGGACACCGGCCCTGTCCACCCTGCTGTACCGCGGAGCTAACGTCCCCGTCTTTGATCCATTTGGCCATCTCCATTGGTGCATACGCGAAGATATATAACTGCGGAGCGCCTCACAATCGGTCTGCCGTAGACGGTCTTACTCAGTCAATTCGAACCCCGAGGACATACATCGGCGACCCACCATCGCATTGGTCCCTACCAGCTCAGGCGCCTCTCACATACAGAGTCATCACTCTCTCAACCAAATTTCTCGTGAAGCTGATCGACACTATCTACTATACCGGCTACTTCAAGTTGAACATGCTACTTAATCCCCGGTCGGCCCTCGCTGGTCCATCCCTTCCACTTCCACTTCACGCGCCCAAACAACGTACTATGACCGTCTCGTCCAAGGTATGCTGTGCAAACATGATAGATGAATGTAGACTCAGAAGGCATAGCCGGTGGTGCATCTCTTTCCGCATTCATCGTGGTGTGCGTGTGTCAGGATAACGATGTCGGCATCCCACGTTTAATCACGCATCGCCTCTCTGAGCTGACGTCTTACGTCTAGATTCGAACTGGGTTTATCGGACTTGATCGACATACACACCGTGGACTTCCTGCGCGCTGAGAATCTGACACCGGACTTCATCACAATGGTCTGTCGCGTGTAATGCGGTGTTTGTAAGGACTTTCCTGACGTATCTCAGAGCTCAAACGCCACCGTACCCGTACTCTCTACTTCGGAAGGAGTGTACGGCGACTCAGTTTCTACGATCGAATACCTCATTGCGCTCCACACATCGCGCCATGGTAGACGCATCGCGCGAAGGACAGGCCTCGTTGAGGAGCTGCACGCCGAGGCCGTCGACTCCAAGTTCATGACGTTCTCCGCTGTACGTATTCTCGCTACTCTCTGCAAGCGCCCGCAGACGGCTCAGGATTGAGCAGTGTAGCGACACAGAACTGTCAGCGAAAGCATCTAGCCCCCTGCCACGGGGTCTAGTATCACGTATGTTCTTCATCTTGAATCCGTGTTGGGGCACTTGCTAACACAAGCTCTTCAGGACAAGAATGGACACGAAAGTACGCCAACTCCCAAGCCGGGATCCCGTTTGCTGCACGATACGAGGCCAAAATGGCACACGTCGATCGTCTGATCTCACTCTACGCCGGGACTGCCCCGCCAGCGGCGCGGCACGACTTCTTCGCAAAGAGCCGCGCCAACCGCACCGCCGCCCGAGCACTCATATACACCCGGCTTTCCGCCGCACTACGCCTCACTCCCGGTCCATTTCTTGCCGGTGCCGCTCCAGGAGAAGACGATCTACACCTAGTATGCCCTAACGTTAACCGGGTATAATCTGTAACTCGTAGTCTAACAGTCTTTCGCAGATTGGCTGGCTTACGCATGTTGCATTCTGTTCGGGTGCACGCAGGCCGGAGGATGCATTGCGATCTTTGCAGATGATGTTCGGCGAAGAACCGCCCGCTCATGTCAGCATGTTGTGGAACGCTTGGATACGGCGGGAAAGCTTCGGAAAAGTGTATGAAGCAGGCCTCTACTGAAATGATCATGTATATTAACATGAGCTGGGCTGTACGATTAGTCGGGTGGCGCAATATACAAACTGTTTCATAGTGATGATACTATCTAGATCGAATAGACGAGGCTACATCTACCGAACGCCACCTCGGCCCAGTGACCAGTCCGCGGTTCAGAAAATTGGAGAATAATGGTCGGCCCGGTTTGCCGATCAATCTCACAAATATTGGCGCGCGCACTTCGACGCGCCAGGCGCTCGCTTGCACTTGACTACCACATCCTCTGTAATCATATCGTATCTGCTGCTTCCTGCCTGTCAAGGTTGAATGCGTGAAGGATAGAGGACCGAATACGCGCTCTAACAAGGATGACGGAAGGATGATGACGACCACAGGGGTTAGATTTACTACGTGTCTCGCCTAACAGGTTTGACCATAAGATGGACTAGTCGGTACGCCTGGCGTCCACCTTCTCGCCCTTTTCCTTCTACCTGCGCCAGGAGCGCCTCTTTTACCTTTCAGCATGTCGGCAGGAGCTTTTACCCGTCGCCAGCTTCGACCTGTGGTTCTTGACGGCGCCGGGGACGTCACTCTACCTCTTGATACCAAGGACTCAGGGCAGGGAGCTAGGGAAGGGACAGCACCGAGCTTTGCTCTCGAACCGCCTGTGGAGAAGCAGTCCACTGCTATGACCTCCGCAACGTCAGAAGCAACGGTTTCAGCAACATCATCACCAGTGGCGACGAGCACTGGCGCTTTGGTAAGCCATACAATGCGTCTCTTCCCTCATCTGAGGCTGACAATGACATCCAGACGAGCGCGAGTGACATCTCTAGCACTGTTACTTCTTCTACGTTCCTGGCGGCAGCGTCGGCCACACCGTCAAGCGCTTCGTCTGACGATGTCTCGCCGTCAACGACAGTGGTGGTGGTGACCTCGCCTTTGCCTTCAACGTCATCTACTGCAATCGGAGCCAACGCTGAGGCTTCTCACTCAGACTCATTCTATGTTGCTATTGCTCTTGCGGCTACAGGGGGAGTTGCTGCCATCCTGCTACTCCTCGCGTGGTGGACGCGCGTGCGCGCTCGATCTCGAAGACGCTGGGAACTCGCGTCCCGTTCATCCTCCACAACCAACTTTGATCTTCTGTGGCAACCTTCTTGAGATCGTGATGTTGGTGAACCGAAGCGCGACTTTGCCTTGCCAACGAACTTGCCATTACCGTGCGGAGCTGTCGTGCGCGACAAGGCTGGTGCTTTTGACCTCGTAAATGTACCATTGGCGCGCGCGCGTCCCACCCTGCCTTGCGAACTACAACCTTCGGAATCCTCACTTCGGGCCTTGGCTGTATGTCCTAGCTCACGGCCGGCAAAACCCCTCGCTGTGGATACCCGGCGTCCGGACGAAGCTTTCCAAGGTCTCGGTACGCCCAGGGAGGAGCTCGGACAATCCAAGCCGCGGTATCTCAGCATCAGGCGCGACAACGAAGGGCTGAGAATTCGCGCTCCATCGCCCATCGCCACTCCTGCGTCCGAGCAACCATCCGAGAAACGTCCTGTCCCTACCAACAACAATGCTACCTGGCGCGAACGACTTCAGGCTCGACGTCCTCTTCCGGAACAGCCACCTCTGGACGTTACCTTCGGGGAGTCTTGGCTTGATAGCATTCGGAGACGCGTCTTTGTGGGGCCAGGTGTACATGTTCCGTCGAACTCGACGGACTTCGGTTCACCGCAGGCCGAAGCTTCGGGCATGCGCGTGGCGGGACCGACGCCAACATACGCCTCTCACTTGGTCACCTCCCCTACACCACATTCACCGGAGTGCATTCAACCGGGCGATCCCTCTGGCTTATGAGGGTGTCGCGTCCAAGTCCGGCTGCAACATGCGATCTCGAAGAGGGTTTCATTGACTGAACGATGACGACTTCTTTACACTCATGTACACGTTGATACGTGCGGGCGCTTTTTATACTATACACATTTCAAACGAGCGTCGTCCACTCCTCATCAGGGTGCAGACCCCAGTTTTCGAGCCATGCCTCGAATAAGCCAGCGATCTTGGCGTGCCCTGCCACGTTCGGGTGGATGTTGCTTGTGCCCGCAAGTCAGAGGGAGTCCAAGTTCTGGAACAGTGGTTTGACTCACTCTGGGAATACATCCTCGTAACTGACCCAGCCTGTAGTGTTGACGAGGAAGACATTCTGATCTCCTTCGTTGTGTCTGCAGACGTGTCCTCAGAGTGTTGCTTCGGGAAGGTCGCGACGCACAGGACTTACAAGGAGGATACGATCCGTTCATAGCTTCCTTCGTAGTAATAATTGATGGTGTCGTCCGGGTTCGGCCATCCCCACTACATGGCGATCTATCAGAAACTCTCCAACTCGATACACTGAAATGACGCACAGGGGTGAAGACAAAGATCGGCTGATGAGCGTAATGGACCCGCATGTTGTGTACGAAGGTCAGGTATGTCTGAGGGCAATCATTACTTTGGAATCCCCTGGTGTTGCAATGCACGTACAGAGACGAAGTCGTCTGCCGTTACATTCTGAGAGGCATCATTCGCTCTAGAGCAAAGGTCAGTCACAGTCGATAACCATGATCTACAAAAGACGAACCCGATGTGTATGACGACATGACTGGGCTGCGGGTGGTCATTCTTGAAGTTCCAGGGCGTCGTATAGTTGTGATCGGGGGTGTAAAAGTACCCAGTGTCCTCAGTCTATGACAAACGTCAGACTGAATCTCAGGTTTAGGGGTGCGCGAACAAGCGGGGCTCACGCGGAAGAACTGGAATGATACACCGTGTTGGTTGCCATAGCTCACAATGTCCTTAAGAGCGGCTCCCGGTTGAGCAGTGACGACGTGTTCGGCCTTGAAGTGCTCGCCTGTGAGGAAAGGCCAAGCTTGATCGACTCCCTGAGGTAGATATTGTCCCTGCTTAAGGTAAGGAACCGGCAGTCCTCGCGACGATTGCATACGTATACTCACAGCTGAGAGTGAATCTCCGATGAACTGAAAGGCGATGCGAGACGGTTTATAGGTCAGGAGTTTGGCATCCTGAGGCGCATCAGAACATGATCAAGCCCCGGGGACCCAAGTATCTACCACGTTGGTCTCGACGCCCAAGAGGTTCAAGTTGTTGTTCTGCCATCCTTCGACGTTGATGCGCACAACCCTCGCGCCATGTTCGTGGACTTGCACCACATTGACGCCTTCCGATACATTAAGCGTGGTGAAGTTGCCATAGTCCAGAGATACACCGACAGAAGTCAGCGGGTCGGTCGTGTTCGGGCCGAGCATCAGCGAGAGCGATTTAAGACCTTCCGCATGCAGCTTGAAGCCGGAACCTGCCCTATGAGACGATGAGCGGACACGAGCATCAATGAGGCCAAAGAACGAGAGAAATACTGACCACCAAGTCGAAGGTGCCTTATCCCAACGCCCATGGTAGAAGATTCGTGGATCGTTGTTCGGGATGGTCGTACTGTGATCAGTCGTTTCTGCTAGGGCTGCAAACCCAGCGGAACCCAGTAAGCATGAGACGAGGAGCGATGCGAGCATCCTTCGTGAAAGGTTCGCGCTGTGGGCCAGGACAGCGAACGTTGGGCTGAGGTCCAAAAGACGTCGCATATATAGAGCATACAGCGTTCCACGTTCCAGAAGATCACGAACTACTTTACAAACGACCCGCCTGACCTTTTCCCGAAATTCAGCCGAATGAACCCAAAGAAGACTGTAGATGCGGTACGAATATACGAAAATCTCATAGAGTCCCATGTGATGATGCAGGGATAAGTACAGGTGCAGTGTGAGAGCACGTCATCTAGAATCAAACAACGTGCGGAACCGCGTTGATCCCGTTCTGAATACCGGTGGCGTTCGCGTACTGGTCGTAGGCCGGGCACAGCGCGCGCCAGTCGGATGGAGGATTATCGATGCTACTGACATCGGGAACATCCTCGGCTATGACCACAGCAACTGGCAATGAAGTTAGTGTTCGATGTAAAACGAGGAGAAGTGTTGTCACGCACACCCGCTGTTCAGGTGCCAATCTTGAATGGGAGAAATCAGTATGTAAAAAGAGAGACATGTGGATGGCGCGAACCAATGTGGCTATCGAGTTCGTCAGCAATGCAGGCTTAAAGATCGCGCATGAAGACTCACCAATGTAAGAACCAAGGGCCGGGGTTGTCCGTGGTGCTATGGATATCTCAGTGCTTGTCGATCTCTGCATCATGGTGGGACCTACAAGCGAATAGTAGTCCTGTCTGTGGACGAAGTTCCTATACTCACGACGTCGCGCTTTGGCGGATTCACAAAGTTGTACGAATCATTGCCGGCAGAGCGGACAACCGAGAAGGTATGGCCGTGAAGATGGATAGGATGCCTATGAGGGATCAACGTCATTCTAAGCGTGCCAGGGGTTCGCGCAACTCACGGGCCACCGCCAACGCCTCCCGGAATGACAATCTCCACAGACTTATTCAATGCGATGGGGTAGATGGAGCCGGTCGGAAGGAGCGACGAAGCAGGAGTCCCACTGAGGATCTGAAGCAGAACCGGGATATCAGGGCTCGAGAAGGGAACACCGTTGACAGAGAAGATGTTGTTCGCCAACGTTACGTCTAGTTCGATATTGATATCAGCGCCGCCAGGAGTGGGAGCTCCGGGGGCTGCTGCGTCCGTGAGCGGCTGAGGGAGATCAGTTTGTCATTTACATGGATAACCAGCAGTGTGCTTACGTGTAAGTCTTGCTCGTTGAGCTTCAGACTGGGGGAGCTGGTGCTTGTAGGATCACTGGTACCTGCGCCCGCATAGCGCAGGATGGCGCTGTTCGTGCCAATGGTAAAGCCGCTTGCGATGTTATTGGGAGCCGCTCGGATCCACTGAGAAGCGGTCACTTTGGCGGAGATACGGAGGCAGACTTTGAACTCACATAGTTATCAACTGGTTGATCAGCGGCCATCTAGGCGACATCAATCTTGGACCTTGGAATCACAAAGAGATGCCTACGCACCACAAGTGAGTAGCGCTGTGCTGCGAGAATATCTAGAGAGTCTATGAGAAGGGGTTGATGCGCCGTCCCGTCAACTTCGATGACACTATCAACGCAGCGGTAAGTCCATCTGATGCTGAAGGGGATGGATCAGGCAACCTACCTAAACTGGTGGCCGTCAATAGAGAACGTGAAGTATGTGTCGCATGAGATGCTGATAAGGCGGAATCGGTAACGCTTGCCGGCTTGTACATTGACAACCGCAAGGTCGGTGAGAGGCCCGCCCGCATATCGTCCGAGCCCATTCACGAGTGTGGTGTTTGGATGCCTGGTGGGTATCATGACATGTCTGGACGAAGCGCTGTGAGAGAGCGGCTCACGCTGCTCCTGGGGGCGCGACGGTGCTCAGATAGTGATACCAGTCCCTGTTGCCCCCAGTCTTGTCAGATACTAACGTTGATATGACAGTATCCATACGTACGCAAGCGTGATGACTGTATCGTCTGGGGGGATACTTGTTATATCTTCAGCTAGGATAGAGAAGGAGAATACAACGTACCATTGTCGACGTCGTAAAGGTCAGCCTGGGCGTCATTGGGGTCGTAGATAACCAACGGGCCCTACGTTCAGTTTAGATCCGCGCGATCATTCGTTCGCACAGAGACGCACACGTAATCCATCGCAGTACTGCGTCTTGTAATGGCTAAACGCAGAGGATCAGTGGCAGTCCAGCCTACCCAAGAGTAGTAAGGCCCGTACCTGTGATACCAGAACTGTACCGATGCTCAATATAGATTATAACACCGATCTCTTCGGGTCGACGCACCGTTCCAGCCTGGCCGGGCACGCTGGAGAGCACCGTCAGTGATGCTGGCTATTCAGCGGGGACCATGTACATGCCTGAACTGATGAAGGAAAGACTCATTCGGGATAAGCGGGCACTACCGCGGGAAAGTCAGCAAATGCATTCACCCTGGACCATTCAAACGCACCTGGGTAACAAACGCAACGCCGTCGGCATGATTCTAAGGCGCCGCAAGTCAGATCTACATCCGCACTCGACTAACAATGGTGGGCTCGCCGTAGTGTGTTGAAAGAGCCCATGCCAGTGAATAGAGGTGACCGTGTCCAGCGCGCCGTCCGTCAGAGCATCGACGACGTTCAAAGAGAATGTATCTCCCATATTGCCTGTGATCAAGGGTCCTGGAAATTGCCCATTGACGACCGTCGTGCTAGATTAGGAGAATGCGAGTCAGTGCATCGTCTACCAGCGCCCCAACAAGGATTGACCCACTCTCGAGAGTAGCCATCAGGTGCGAGCTGAGCGTTGCCGACGGTGAGAGTAGCCGAAGGCCCGATAGCAGCATTGGCTGCCACGACGAGGGAGGATAGGACAATGAAGTGAGGAGGTAGCATTCTAGACGTCTGGAAAGGATCGAAGGGGATAGAGAAGTATCGCTCGAGCCTGAAGTCAGAGAAGACACACCAGTGGCCCTTTTATATCGCAAAGAGTGCAGGATAAGATTGAGAACACCGTCCAAGGTAGCCACCGGCGGCATGAGAGTAAGGCACCGACCCGCCCGTCCAGTTCTAACATCAAGATACTGATGTTTGTTCAATACAGTACGCCGTCGGTACCGTCCTGTATTCGGAATACGAAGACCACATTCGGAATGCGAAGTTGAGAAGAGTCGGATGGAGAAGGACGCGTGTACAGCCGACAGCCGTCAACCGTGTAACGAAGCTGATCGAACTCCTCATGTACCTTCACAGTCCTACGGAGGTTCGGAGACGCAGGTACAGACGTTGAGACGTGAGTATACGACTTGGGCATTCGGAATATTCAAGCGCCCACAATTTAAATGGGGTTAGGCGCATGCGCAACCTGTGTTGCAAAACCATCGGAGTGTACAGCTTACACGTCCCCACTGTGCATGTAAAGTCGGAATATCGGTGCGAGCAACGGTCGAGGTCAAGGGACGCGATAGACGCTGGGCCTGAAACAACCAACGTTCCTTAGAAGGAAATGGCAGCCTTCTGCCGTCGAGATGCGCAACTCGGCGCACAGTCCACTGAGGACGCTCTCGGATGCCAGACCTCCGAGCGATTCCCATGGCAAGAAGTGGCTCCATGTTGTGTCGAGAGTCATAAACGACCCATGAGAGAAGGAGGAGGTAACGCGCATCCACTGCTGACGGGACCGAGAGTCGTTGCGGGTAGGCATCGTCCTTGGAGCGTGTTGCGATGATGTGGTACACTTCGGGCGCTGTGAGAACGGTGATGCTCGTGGTTGTCAGAGATCCGCATGGACTAATATGCTTTGAGAAGGACAGAGCGTTGGTGCTGCAACTCGCGCCATGCGGCTATCTTGCAGACCTATCTAAAAGCCCTTCCTGGAGTATGAAGCCTGAAGGGTACGCTTGTTTGCAACAGTCGGGCCGTAGTCCGGTGGAAGAGGTCAAGTGCAACGAGCCGCGAGCCGCGCGAGCTCAAGACCCGCCCGATAATTCTCGCGCTCGCGTCGCCGCCGGTGTCTAGCTGCTCAATGCCGTTTTTGACTCATCTCCCACCGCCATCATCCCCAGCCAACCTCAGGCTGCACAATTGAGATTCCTCAGAGAAGAACAATCGTAGCAGGAAGGACATCATGACGCTCGAGTCCACGAATAATTTGAAGAACACGATCACGCCGGCGGGCGCTAAAGCGAATGGCAATGGCAAGGCCCATCTAAGCTCTGCGGATATCATCCATCTGGAGCATGAGTACGGCGCTCACAAGTAAGTTACACTCGGTCTTATCTGGACTACGCAAGGGAGCAGATCCGAGGTGGTGGTACGGGACAAGTCGGTATAAGCGGCGAGGACCAATCGCACATTCCCCTGCGGGCCTTGTGCCGGGGTCCCCGGCTTCTCCACCCTCGCGGTCTAACACGCTGATCGTGGACCTTGACTTCGGCGTGGTTGTGTGCAGATGCTGACCGATCTGCTCTCTACAGCTATCATCCGCTTCCGGTCGTGATTGACCGTGGCCTTGGTGCGAAGTGAGCTTGCCTTCGTTCACTGCTACGTTCGTGCATTGACCGGCGACGAGTACAGAGTATGGGATCCCGAGGGACGCGAGTATATCGACATGCTCTCGGCTTACTCGTACGTATATTGTCACTTGGACATCACGCATGCATTGATCAGCAATGCACAGGGCCGTGAACCAGGTACGCTCTAGCCTTCGTACCAAGGCTAAGAGGATCAACACTCATCCATACGCAGGGTCATTGTCACCCACGCATCGTAGCTGCACTGACAACTCAGGCTCAGAAGCTGACGCTTTCTTCGCGCGCGTTCTACAACTCCCTCTTTGGCGTCTTTGCGCAGAAGATCACCGATATCTTCGGTTATGACATGGTCCTGCCTATGAACACGGGTGCCGAAGCCGTCGAGACGGGTCTGAAGCTCGCACGCAAGTGGGCATACCAGAAGAAGGGTGTCAAGGATGGACGTGCCATCATCCTCAGCGCTGAAGGAAACTTCCATGGCCGCACGCTCGGCGTCATCTCGATGTCGACTGACCCGGAAAGTCGGACTGGCTTTGGTCCTTACCTCGACAAAGTGGGCCCTACGTACCAAGACGGCGAACAGACAAAGACCATTCGCTACGGTGTTATCGAAGACCTCCGTCGCGCGTTTGAACTGTATGGCGAAGACATCGCAGCGTTCTTAGTTGAGCCTATTCAAGGCGAAGCCGGGTAAGGGCATACTTTCTGCGGTAGCTATATCTCTTGCTCATGCCGCTTACAGCATCGTTGTCCCGCCGGAGGGCTATCTCAAGCAAGTGCGCGAGCTTTGCACGAAGCACAACGTGCTTCTCATCTGTGACGAGATTCAGACGGCAAGTCGATCACTCTCTTGATCATCTCTTACTTGTGCTCACATACACCCAGGGTCTTTCGCGAACGGGAAAGCTTTTGGCGCACCACCACGATGGTATTCGCGCTGATATTGTTCTGCTCGGCAAGGCTTTGTCTGGTGGACGTACGTACCAGTCGTCTTCCTACCCTGCCGTTCAGTGTTGACAATCAGACTTGTAGTGTACCCCGTCTCCGCCGTTCTTGCCGATCGTGACATTATGCTCTGTATTCAGCCTGGCGAGCATGGTAGCACATACGGCGGGAACCCCCTCGGATGCGCGGTAGCTATGACGGCCCTGGATGTTTTGCTAGAGGAGAAACTCGCAGAGCGCGCTGAGGTGCTGGGACAACGGTTCCGCAAAGGCGTTGAGGCTATTGGTAGTCCTCTTGTCCAGCTTGTGCGCGGACGTGGCCTGCTCAACGCTGTCGTCATCGACGAGAGCAAGAGCGCTCGTGGTCGAACTGCTTGGCAGTTCTGCCTGCTCCTGAAGAGCAAGGGCCTGTTGGCGAAGCCCACGCATGTCAACATGTGAGCGCAGTAACGGTTATGATGGAGCAGATACTGAGTCCGTTACAGTATTCGCTTTGCGCCGCCGTTGGTCATCTCTGAGGAGGATCTCGATAAGGCCGTCGCCATCATTGGACAGTGTCTCCAGGACCTTGACACGGTGCGTGTCAAGCCTCTGGCGTCAGTGTGTTCATACTGACGCTATCCTTCTAGCTGGACGAGATTCCCGGTGAGGTTGAGAGTGAGAAGGGCTTCCAGGATCATATCGAGAATTAAACCGCATCTGAAGCTACGTTATGTACACATGTCTTTGCGACGTCTACCACATCATGTCCATCAATGTATCTCTAGCATCTCAAGCATTACTGTCTACCAGCTACCTATCTCCACAATCCCATGCTATAGCTCTTATCACCAACTTTCTAACGTGAAGAACGCCTTTGCGTACATTCTGTCAGTGCTCTCGCCCTCTTGCTGGTGCGAAATGACGGTACCCGATGCCCCAAGGGGATGCGTTATACTGTATTCGAGGGATAGCTGGCATATCGATTCGCAAGACTCTCCCTAATCCATGCCATGGGTATTGGTCGTGATCTAACTGGGAACTCTACTACTGATACACACCGAAAACACCGCGACGCGGGCAGATGACTAAGTCGTGAAGCGGAAGAGAGGCGAGTCCTCACCCATAGCAGCGAGCTGCTCATCCGTGTACTTCGCGCGGACCTCCGCCTCGCTGATACCTGCGCGCCGCATGTTCTCGCGTCGCAAGAGATACCAGTTGAGCATGCAGGGAGTCATAGCGCCTAACACCGTCGCGCCCACGGCAAAGCCGAAGCCGAGCGGGTACGTCGGCGCCTCGCTGGCGATGAAGATGTTGGAGCCGATGGAGCCGCCACCAATAGATCCCCAGAGCATGAATGCGCCGATGCCGGCTGCGCGCTTTGTCGGGTTTGCTACGTTCGCGGAGTACCAAGTACCCACACACGGCGCCTGTGCGGCGTAGCCGGCAGTCGCGAGAAAGATGGCGAAGCTTCAGGGCGACATCAGTACGCTAGGCGGAAATTAATGAAGGAACGGACTTACTAGGAGACGCCGGTGAGATGTGTGTAGTGCACGGTGATCCAAAGAATGATAATGCCGATGAGCCCGACGGTGTAGGAGAACATGAGCGCCTTCATGCGTGTTTGGTAGCGGTCAGAGAAGATGGCGACGGCGACGCAGAGGATACTGGCGAAGATGTATGGCGGTGTCGTGAGAGCTTGGGCCTTGACAGCGGTATAGCCAAGGTTCTTGACAAGCGTCGGAAGCGTGTACGAGAGGGCGTAAGTTGGGACCGAGCCGCCCCACCAGAACATCATCATGATAGTATCTGTTGACCGAGTTAGGGACTGATTCGCAGATAGGACTACGTTCCAGTCACTTACATGTCTTCCAATCCTTGAGAGCGGCCTTGACATCACTCCAAGCGAAATGAAGCGCGGGAGGGTTAGGTCCATATTGGTAGCGCGAGCGAAGGTAGACATAGCGCTTCTCTACGCCATCGAGCCACTTGCCCTTGAAGTCCTCAGGGAAGTCAGGAAGCGCAAAGAAGGCGCAGAGTCCGACGAAGACGGTGATCACGCCCTCTATAAATCATTGAGTTAGGGTACCATCGCGTTATATGCAGCACATACCAATGAGGAAAAGCCACTTCCAAGCCCGCCAGCCGCTGTGGTAGTCGAGATTGCCGACGCCATATGCGATCATACCACCGAAGGCACCCGCAAGGGTATTGCAGGAGTAGAAGATGGCCATACGCGTCTGGAGCTCCCTCTTGGTATACCAAGTCGAGAGTAGAAAGTACGCGCCGGGGTACATGCCGGCCTCACTGTCGACGTGTTTGAGCATCGGGTTGGGAAGCCGAGAGAAAGATAACACTTACGCTATACCGAGGGCCAGGCGAATGCAGACATAACCAGCATAGTTGTGCACGACGCAAGTCAGAGTCGTAATAGTACCCCAGGTGATGATGATGATGGGAAACTGCGCAGGGCAACATCAATATCAAACATGTTGAGCATGCGGCGTCGGTCACCTACCCAGATACGAGGACCGAGACGACGAAGCAAGATGTTGGCAGGTAGTTCAGACAGACCGTACGTGAAGAAGAAATACGTCAAGGCAAGATTGTACTGAGTATTGTCCATGCCAATGCCCTCGAGAAGCTGCCAAAGTGGCGTCAGTCAGAAGCCTGGTTTGAGCATGATCATCTAGCGTCAGAAGACGTACACCGAAGAGCTTGGCATTGCCAGCGTTAGCCTTGTCGAGCGAGCACAGGAGGTACAACAGGGAAAGGAAGGGTAAGATGGCCCAGTCCACTGCAAAGTTCCGATCGTATGAGCACAGGGTCAAGCTAGAACATGCGGTGACCGCACTTACTCTTCCAGAGAAGACGCTTCCGGGCCGCAGGGTCAGCCTCGAACTTGGCCTCGAGGTCCAAGTACTCGCTGTACTCGTCCCCGACAGAGGCGACGTCGACCTCGGAGGGCACGCCCTTCTCGTCAGCGTAGTCGTGGCTGGATGACTTGTCCGTTGTCATGGTCGTCGCAGCGCGTAGAGCCAGAGCGGGGAGGGCGGTGGGTCCAGTTCATCCTGGACGAAGTAGCCAGCTTATGAACACGGTGGCAGGTGCCACCAATTCTTATCAGGGACGCGGGCTGCGAGCGGGACTACCGATGCAACTCAAAGCGCACGGGCGCCACGGCGAACAGGAGCAACTAGCGGAAGTACGCGGGGGATTCCCAGGGCGGCCGATATATACCTTATCTTCTTCCGGCCAATAATGTCGGGCGGGCCGATCCGGCGGTCTGGGATTTACCCCTGACGCGTTAGACCCAACACCTTCAGACCGGTGGCCGCATCAACTAATGGCTGTCTTGTATGTTTCGAGTACGTTTGCGTACGTATGGCGTTGCTATAATGCAACTCTAGGGCTGCGCAGGAGCACGCGACAAGTCTAAATAACAGCTCAGAACAAGTTCAGACGATACGTATCGCGTTCAGCAGTAAGAAACAAAATATGTGAGAGGTACTATGTGTGGCTCTGTGTCTGAAAGCGCTGTTACAACGTCCAATGAAATCGCTCGTGTGAGATGTGGCCGACGTGTGGCCCGGGATCTAATCTTGATAGGCTTGCCGACCCGCCCACCGAACCGACCAACCGCGCAGCGCCTCTTATCTATACGGTCTATCGGCCTGTACGGGTCGGCTCAACCGACGGCTGTACCGATGATCTATGCTTCTCCACGCACGCTGGAAGTAAGATGCAGATACTTAAGACGACTTGCCGCCGGGCCGTGTCTTGCTTCAAGTCGAGCCAGACGTCCACTTCATCGCTTTCGTGACCATGCCCGTCGCTACCTCCACCATCAATCAGCCCGCTACCGGCGGGGACCACACCGCACGCGCCATCCGCCCTGTGAACAAGGATGGCACGCCTCTCTACCCCGACTATATGCGTAAGTCTTTTACCCCGCATTCCAATCTAAGCGCGCGTGTTCATGACGCACTTAGCCCACTACGACCCCCTTGAGAAGGTCGAGGACATCGGCGAGTTTGAGCACTACGACCCTGGTCATCGCGCCGACCCGGCAAAGCCCAACCTCCTCAAGCACGCGACGAAGATCGTCGACATCTCCCCGCACGTCGGCACCGAGATCGAGGGTATTCAGCTCTCCGACCTCACGTCTGAGGGCCTTGATGAGCTCGCGCTCATGGCGGCTGAGCGCGGCTGCCTTGTCTTCCGCGACCAGAAGTTCATCGACATCGGTTTCGAAAAGCAGAAGGACATCGTCCGGTATGTCTCTTTGTACTCGACGGCGGCTGAGCATAGCAACTAATGCGTTGACTAGTCACTTTGGCCCGCTACACATTCACGGCTGGGCGCCGCATCCCAAGAATGGACCGCCTGAACAGTGCGTCCTTTCCTGACCCGGAACAATCCTGGAGGATACTGACCATGTATGATCGCAGCATGATCGTCTACGACCACCGGGAGGATCTTCGTGTGCGCAAGTCATGGGCCCGCAAGAGCCCGATCCAGTTCCATACGGACCAGTCGCCGGAGAAGCAGCCGCCGGGCACGACATTCTTGTGCATGCTTGAGTCGCCTTCCGTTGCTGGCGGCGATACTATTTTCTCGAGCGTACGTCCTCATCGATGCCTCCTCATGTTCGTTGGTACCTAACACGAGTTGCAGAGCGTCCGTGCCTTTGAACGCCTGTCGCCACGCTTCCGCAAGCGCCTCGAGGGCTTGACCGCCATCCACTCCAACCTCGAGGGCGCCACGCAGGAGCTCAAGAACAACGGCCAGAACGCTGTCCTCCGTCGCGGAGTCTTGGAAGCCGAGCACCCTGTGGTCATCGTTCACCCCGTTACGAAGAAGAAGGCTCTCTACGTACGTGCTCATTTGCAACCGCAGCTGGTCATTTGACTGACTATTTCGCAGGTCAATCCGGTCTACACCAAGCGGATTGTCGGCTTCGACGAAGAGGAGTCTGACTATCTCCTCAAATTCCTCTTCGACCATATCATCCGTGGCCAAGACTTCTCCTGCCGCGTCCGCTATGAGGCTGGCACCGTTGTCGTTTGGGACCAAAGGATTACGAACCACAGTCAGACACTTGACTATGCACCGGGCGAGCGTCGCCATGCTTTCCGCCTCACGCCGCTCGCCAATAAGCCCATTCCCGCCTTGGTTGAAGAGGATGACGGCGAGTGCCAGAAGGACGAGATGCGGGTCATGCTTCGCATCTGCTGAGTGCAGTTACATGGTATGGTAGTGACTTTATGAGCTCCGGGATAGCTAGTAGTCTTCGTGAACGTTGAAGTCATTTCTCTTCTGTATTGATACCAGTCTGCAATCTATGCATGTCTATACTTCCGAGACGCCGCAGGCAGTTGGTGAATTGGGTCAGGAATGTCGGGCGCAGAAAATAGCACAAGCAAAGGCCTTCGTAGAGGATATAAGGATTGATTTCCAGGGAATGAGCTAGAGAAGCATGCTCGTTGTCGTGGAGGTCTCGAGCAAGGCGAACGGCCACCGCGCGCTCAACGAGCTCGTCGTCGGTGGCGGCGCGGATCAACGGGCCGCGTTCCGTCCCCTGAGCGCTCGCGCTCGCCTCTATTCTCGGCGTCTTGTCCTTACCGTCATCACCTCAGTCTGCGTATACTCACCTTCGCGTACACTCGAAATGCGTCTTGACTCGACCTGTCACACTTCGAGCACCGTACGATGTTTGTCAACAGGTGAGGAAAGGCTACGTGATTTAGGATGGGCGTCGCGTCTAACGATGTATTGTATTGTTCAGCGCGGACTACTCGGAAGAGATGACTTCATTCTACCGAAGCATTCATTCATCTATATGATACGCTATGCTTGTGGCTGGTACGGGAAGCGCTTCGCCCAATGGTCTGCAATCTCCTCACGGGTCGCGAACCATACACCCTCCTTCGACTTGGCGTATTCGAGGAACTTGCGCAATCCCGCAATACGCGCCGGCCGTCCAACAATACGACAGTGTAATCCCTATACGGTGCTTCAGTCGAGTTGCGTTGCATGCCTCGCGAGCACACGTACGATGGAAAACATCTTGGGGTGACCCGCTTCGCCTTCGCGATAGAGCTCATCTACGGCGCGTCAGATGAAGGCGTCTATCCTCAAGCGGCAAATCATACCAAATGCATCGATCAAATACTCAGCAAACTGGTTGGCGGTTATGAAAGCCTGGTAGCCCGCGTTCTTGTAGTCATTGGTGTCGAGAGTATCTGGCGTACCGTGCTTCGGTGAGCGAGAACTTGGCTTCACACCGCACGGCGTACTCACAAGGAATGATCAGTAGACCCTCGTCCTTGCCTCCACCGGGCATTGGTACCCAGTGAGGAAGGTCGTCGCTATAGTCGTCGCTGTAGTACTTGAGCGGAAGGCCCTCTTCGCGGAAGACTTGGGCAACGAGCGCCCGGCTGCGCGCGCCGGCCTTGGTCGCGACCATCCCGTAGTACCACCCGCGCGGCGGCTTTCCGCTCGTCTCCTTGATAGCTGCGGTACAATCAGGGCCTGTCTGAAAGGATATCGAGAATGTCGACGTACCTTGCATGGCCTTGCGGACGTTCTCCATCTCTTCGTCCGCCGTCCACGCACTACGATCTACCCAGCGCCAACCGTGGCTCGCAACTTCATGTCCGCGTGTGGAGAGCGCAGCGCCTACTGCAGGGTTGAGCAGGAGCGCCTTGCCGACGGCGTAGCTCGTGCACTTGACACCATGCTCCTCGAGCAAACGCAGCACGCGCCATACACCCGCACGAGAGCCATACTCGTATAACGACTCCATGTTCACATCGCGTTGCCCGTCCGTCATTGGCGTCACTCCTGGTCCCAGCTCGGATGCAGCGGTCTCGGTAATGCCGTCGCCGTTCACAGGTGTTACCTCGGACCCTTCCTCGTAGTTCAGCACCACCTGGACCGCGATCTTCGCACCGCCGGGCCACTGAGGATCGGGCGTGTGTTCGCCGTAGCCAACAAGATCGCGTGCGCCATAATCGGTCGAGCTGCATGCAGAGATGTCAATCGAGCTCCGCGAGCAAGTACACCCCGACGCACTTGGTAGTAGCCATGATCAGGCGAGATCCGCGCTTTGAATGGACGCAAAGGATAGGGATGGAGAGTTATACGTGCCGGAGCTGTGATTGGCCATGGTGTATGATAAGGAGGGAGGAGATGCACCGGAACGGAACGAGTGCGGGTCAGCCGACGAAGTGCCGACTCCTATCGCACGGCTCTATCCGTTCCTCTCAACCGATTCCGCCAGTCGCGCTCGGGCTAGCCGCTACGCGCCGATGCGCCTCCGACGATGGACGTGCTATAACATGTTGTAGCGTTATGCGTGCGACGAGCCAGATCTGCGCCTCTCTCGAATCATGCCCAGCCGACCTCTTCGCCAAGGGATCTACGTCCCGCTACCGACCTTCTTCAAGGACGATGAAGAGCTTGGTGCGTCTGTAGTTCGCTGTTTGTTCATCCGCTTTACTCATTATACATACCTAGATCTTGAGGCGTACTATAAACATGTACAATGTACGTCGTTCGTGAAGCCGTATGCTTATTCTCGGAAACTGATCTCGAGCTTGCAGACACCGCCGCGCGCGGGATCCTGCCTGTTGTCTGTGGCTCTATGGGCGAAGCTGTGCACCTCGTGCGCCCACAGTTACTTTACTCGTCTAGTTCATTCAACGCTGAACTGGAGTGCAGGACCACGAGGAGCGCGCTTCGCTGATTCGTACTGCGCGTCGGGCGCTCGACGACGCCGGTTTACAGCAGGTGCCTATCCTTGCCGGTGCAGGCCAAGCGAGTACCCGCGAAACCATCAAGTTGGCGAAGGAAGCTGCCTCTGCAGGTGCCGATCATGTCATCGTCGTACCTGGAGGTTACTACGCAGGCGCCCTGAGAAGCAACCCAACCACGCTCAAGCAGTTCTTCGTGGATGTCGCGGCTGCTTCGCCGCTCCCAGTGTGCGTATTCCCCTCGCTCTCTGTCCACTGCGTAACTAAATTCTCATAGCATGTTGTATAACTTCCCCGCCGTCGCAGGCGGCATCGATATGGACAGCGATCTCATCGAGGATATCTCCATTTCTGCACCGAACACTTGCGGCGTGAAGTTGACTTGTGGCGCTGTCGGCAAGCTCACACGCATCACGGCCCTCACTACCGACCCATCCTTCGCGGCAACGCACCCGCGTACGGACCCGAACGCGCCATGGACTACTCTCTGCGGTTTCATCGACTTCTTGCTCCCGGCTGTCTCGTCCGGTGCAGGAGGTGCGATTACCGGGGTACCGAACTTTGCGCCTAGAGTATGCGCGCGGTTATGGGAGCTTTGCCTCAGCGACCCACTTGGGACGGAAACTAAGTGTCTGCAGAACCTTGTGGCACGCGCAGATTGGGCAGCCTCTAACGCGAATGTTCGTGATACCTTGTTTCTACGTTGCCTTTCACATACTCACGTTCATCGACGGTTCAGATCCCGGGTATGAAGCGTCTGCTCAACGAGCTCTTCGGTTACGGTCGTCTGCCTAGACGTCCATTAGTCCCTATCTCTGACGCCAAGGCGGAGGCATTCCTCAGCAATGATCACATTCAGGCTATCTTAACTCTTGAGAGACAGCTGGAAGCGGAGGCGGGGCCGCTGTAGGTCACACTGCGGAGTAAATTAGAGTGTGTCGAGGCGTAGCATAGTCGCAAACTTAGAGCATGGGCTGCCATCCGTTAGCCTGGATGCGAATACGTGTACCGTTTATTTCAAAGCATCGTATATCTGTATCAGATCTCCCCTAAGCCTTCTCAGTCTAACGAAGCTGGGGGCGGTCAGACCTCGGACTGCAATGGCCGACAACCTTACTGAAATATGATTGGACAACGCTCCCCGCGGCGGAGGTATCAGGCACGGATAAAGACGGACCTACTTCTGACCACTTAGAGCCATGACCACGGGCCTAGATATGCTAGTACGATCATAATCCCGCCCTCTAACAGGCTGGAGATAAGCGCTCACCGAAGCCACCATGGTCTACCATGCTTCATAACAGCTTCTCCTCGTCTCGCCGTCCGGGTCTCCTCTTGCCTCCGCATCGCTTTCATGTCTTCCTCGGCATCATCTGGAGCTGAGAAGCAACCGCGCTCGAGTCGGGCGTGCGTTCAATGTCGCACTCGGAAGCAACGCTGTCTGCCGGAGCTGCCTGGTGTACCGTGCCAGCGTTGTCGAGGCGCCCACAAAACATGCTCCTTTGAAACCGATGTGGACTATCGTCTTGCCTACGCGCCTTATCCATCCCCAAGCCCCGGTCAAAGTGGCGCCGACGTGCATGCACTCCGTCTTGAGCTCGCCGAGCACCGTCGCCGTCTGGATATTCTTGAGGGCGCCATGCGCTCGGGATCTATACCTGCTTCTACTTCTACTTCAAGTGGTGGAATGAATGAAGACACTACATCTGAATTTCCCAGCGTCCCCTCAGCGTCTACCTCCTCGTCGATCTCAGGGCCTGCACTCGGTTCCTCGCCTGCGGACTCGCAAGGCTTTCCTGCGCGTGGCATGCAGTACGGCTCACCTGCGGAGTCAGCAATGGGATCGGGCAGCAACGCCTCGCTCGATAGCCCGCGGCCCAAACTGAAGATCGATGAGAACGGTCTCGGGGCTCCTATATCCACTCTGCGCAACCTCAGTACTCTCAACAATGCAGAGGATGTTATGCGCGGCACACATCCGCCAAGTCCCCACATATCCGAAGGGATCGTGCTCGACCCTATCGACCGTGGCATCCTTAGCATGGAGGATGCCGAGCGCTGTTTCAAGATGTACGCTTCATTTCAACGTTGATCTCGTCCCATTGAAGCTCAACCGAACAACAGCTTCTTCGACAACCTTCATCAGCTAGCACCGTTGCTATGCGTGCGTACGCAGTCGTCGGCGGCCTCAGTCCGCGCGACCTGCAGCGTTCTCTTTACGTCCATCTGCACCGTCGGCGCTCGCTATTGGGATTACGAATCGTGAGTCTTCTTGCGCGAACGCCCCTTTTTTGCACTCACGCGGTCGCGTGCCTATAGGCCCCCGGCGACGCGCTCGTGGCTGCATCCTCGCTACCGCACTCTGGTTGGCTTACTTGATGAGGCCATCGCATCGTTACTACTCCGCGCCACTCCTGCAGACGTCACCGTCGAGAGCATACAGGCGCTGCTTGTGTACTTGCAATGGATGCCGCTCGACGGCGTTCGCTCTCGCTTCAACGACATCAGTGCATGGTCTGTTGCCGGGCTTGCTATTCGTCATGCACACTACATCGGACTCGACCGCAGTGTACATGCGAACCATGGCGGTAACGGACGAGAAGAAGACATACACCGCATGCGCGTATGGCTCAACCTTCTGAGCGTCGACCACCAGTTCGTATTTCAAATTCTGATGAGAGAGACTGCCTGAGCTTACCTGACCGAACAGTCTGATGCTTACGGCCGCTCTTCCTGCTTCTCTCAATCCCGAACCAGCAGCGCGCGTCTGTCGTACGTTTGCTTCGAGCCCACTGGCGCAGACCACGGACATCAAGGCTGCCGCTCTCTGTGAACTCGTGAACATTCTTCACCGCGTGGCCAAGGCGTGCGGCGATCCATCTCTCCGGCGACTTGATCCCATCTCATTGCGCCGCGCCAACGCTGAACTAGACGACTGGGAATTGTGCGCTCATCTTGCTTTCCATACGTTTGCACTCGGACTAATGTTCCTGTAGGACATGGACAGCGGTTCTTCCTGCTCAGAGCACCTTCTATATGCCATTCACCGCTCTACGCTGGTATCGTCTGGCTATGAACTCGGCTTCGCTCAATAACGCGCTCAAACATCCCGGCGCGTCGTCCGCCTCCGCCAGTGCAGCTGAGATCGGCATCGAGGCCGCCGCGCAAATGCTCTTCCATTTCAGTGCTGAAGCCGCGCTGCAACCTGCAGGTCGCCCTGTTCGGGGCCTGCATGGACCATTCACGTTAGCGCACCACGCGCTAATCGCATTTCAGTTCGCGATAGACTCGTACTGGGTTACCCACGCGTTTAGCGTCGTCCTCCTCGCGCTGGCGTTTACGCGCGGTCTCATCGATGATGAGTTACATATACTCAGTCCACCCTCACAACCGTTACGCCCACGCCCAGAAGCATTACTTCCTTGTCTTCTGCGCTTAGCCGCGGCGGCCTTCCGTGGCGTATGCGCGCCGGGCGCGGCACACTATCGCGCACTCGTCGACGGTGTGCTGGAGGACATGCTTGTAGACGGTCAGACGACCGGACTTGTCAACGACGTTGAGAACATGTTCCCGGAGCTGATGGATCTCGGTTTGGGTTTCGATTGGGCGCTGTTCCAAGACCCCGCGGCTGGATTTGGTGTGCCCATGGGCAATGGCATGGCATCGTAGTTTACCTGTTCTCTCTGCTTTCAATGTTGTGATCACTCGCGAGTACTCTAAAGCTGTACATCATATAGTGTGTATTTTGGGTCAATGCATGTGTACGATACTTTTTTTTACCGCGTACGGTGCGGGAAATGAACCCTTGGTTGAACAACGGAACTGGTCAACGCGCGCGCGTCATGTGTGGCCGACGGCCCGAAAGCCCCTATCGAAAGCACCCGCCCAATTTCTTCTCCTTTTCCTGCTCGTACATGCACTCCAGCTACATCTGTAAGTATGGAGAAGTTAGGAAGCGTGAAGGAAGTGGGCGTTTGAACACCGCTGCACCCTCAGGAGGCGCTCTTCGCGGCCGCGTATCATACGGCGTGCTACATTCATCAATCTAGGTCAACATACAAGTACGTCAAAACTATCCGGCACTTTTTGCCATATGCCTTTGTCATAGCATATACCTGCTCTAATAGCCCGCTACGCCGAACTGTGTCGGTTAAATGCGTGAGAAACTTTAGATGCCCGCGAAGAATGCGCTGTTCGATCGCTCTTCGAGCCGGTCAACTGTCCGCAGCCTGCTGATAATGATGTTGTGAGTTGGTACAGCAGATCCAGTGGTGCTATGTCACAGGGATACAAATGAGGATACAATATCAGAAAGGGAGGTCTAGGTCATTCTCAGCCTGCGAAACGCCGTGTCAGAATTCGGCCGAAAATGAGCATCCGGATCCCTCACCTTCGTGATGATCGCTTGCACCTGCTCGAGGAGAAGAGGCGTGAACGTCTCAAGAGCCTGCTTCGCCGAGTCTCTGCATCTTGAACAGCCAGATGCGGTGTCGAGGGCGCCATGAATGGCCGGATACAAGTGGGATTCCTCGGGGTTGAAGGAACTCTGCATCTGTTCCGCGACCAACTTCACGTATTTGAACCACCAATCTTTGACCCTAGTAGGTCTATCTGCTGGCGTACGACACTGAACACGTGTGTCTCCACAATTCCCGCATATTCCTGCAATCCCCAGCATTAGAAAATACTCGGAAATGAGGTGGAGCAATGGTGACCCACCACCGTCCTCGCCAGACTCCTTGGCTTGAGCGGGTATCTGGGCGGCGTCTAGCCAGCCAAGGTCGGAGTATATCCTCGCTGCATCGTGTCGACAGCGCGACTGAAAGATGAGAAGCTGTTGAAGAGCGTGGGCCGGCAACTCGTGGAACTCTGGGATCTTCAAAGTCGTCCGTCGGTATAGCATGAACGGTGCCTTCAATGACTCCCTAGCCGCAAGTAAGGCCAGATCGCGCATCTGCAGGAGCCAGGCCATTGCGAACACACGCTCTGGCGAGTCTGACGCATGCCGTCGTAGTAGAACGTCAATGCTCGTGGCATTGGTTAGCCTGAACTTCGCCACGAGTCGCAGGGCGACGGCCAGATCGTCGAGAGCCCCGATGCTGGGCTTCAAACCGGGATGGCATATTGTGAGAAGAACACGCATGGATTGCTCGTCTTCGGCCATGCAGATGACGGGCAGACCGTCTTTGACCTCATCTCCTGATGAGTTCCCGGGCGGAGGGGGGAGTAAGAACATGTCGGCGAAGATCGGCGAGGCTAGCTTCAGAACCAAGCTGTAGAAGCGAAAGTCGACGTTATCGGATGAGCGTAAGATCACATCGGCGTCAGGGGCAGCGAATGGTTCCCCTGCATCGCGTACGACGCCTTCTAGGATCCTGAGAGCTTCGGATTGTGTATTCGCCATCTGATTGATAGATCAATATGCGACTCTAGGCAGGACAAAAGCTCGACGAACGTACGGTGTAGGTTCGTAGTGAAGAGACGTGATGCTAACGAGGCGGCGGAGCCTGGGTACATATACCAGCTGCAAGCGCGGCTGCGGCTGTGTGACCCTTGTAGTACTCGAGTCATAGGATCTCCAAAATGACAGTGCAAACAAGCGCTGGCGATGCAGACTCGTTCATGAATGCGATGTTGGCAAAGCAAGCTGTGCACCATCACGTAACCTTGGCATCGGCTCACACTGACTTGAGTCTACGACCATATCATGGATTGCGACTACCGTAGAAGGCGAATGGTGCAGTATTAGAGCAACGTCTTGAGAGGGACGCTCACAGCGAGGTAGCCATGAGGACTCCTCGTGTCCATTTCCATCAGAACTGCGCATTCGCCTACGTTCCCGTCCTCAACCTAGGCCTCCGGAGGAGAAATTGTCCGACGAGGCAGCTTGCAAAAAGCTCAAAGTTTGACGCAAGCCGTGCGGCGATGATCAACTCGTCCATTGCTGTGATGGCCGGCTCGGTGTTGGAGCACAACGACAAAAGCATGCGTAGTAGAGCAGCCTCGTCTTCGTCCATGCATACGGCCGGAAGGCACCCTTCCGTCCCATGCTTAGAAGTCCCATCGTGTGGTGCGGGTAAGGCAAAAAGGGTGGCGAAGAATGGCGATGCAAGTGCCAGGGTCCGCCGGTGGGAGAGAAGTTCGACGTCGTCGGAAGAGCGTAGGATCACATCCGCGTCAAGAAATTCCGGATTATGTCGTTTGGTTTCATCCATCGCGACGTAGTTCGGTCCTCTTATACGCTGATAGTGTATACATTGTGAGTGAGGATACGTTGTATAGTGAATGGAGACGAACCTCGGTCGAAGGAATGGGGCTGTGAGTTGAATGTCCGCGGATGAAGAAGGGTATATAAGGAGTATCGCATTGAGCACGAGGTCCATGGCCAGCATACCAGCGTCGACGTCGGCTCGAGACTGTATTTGGCAAGAGAAACCTGATTCGATGTAACGGCACATCTTCCAAAGCATACGCATGACATTGGGACATCGAAATCATGTTAGGTACATATTCCACAGCAGGCTATGTATCGCCGACAGACGCCTTTTTCTTCTTTCGCTTCTTCTCTCCGGGTTCGGACGCTTCTCGCGACCGCTTGCTTGACTGATTGCTGTTCGCTGCTTCGGACGCATGATTTGGAGCGGCAGGGATGTCAACACCCGACGGTCGTAAGAAGGTTGTCGGAGCAGCTGGAGACGAGGGAGTTGCGAGTTGTTCGGTGAAGTCCACTTTTCTTGCCGTACGTAGGTCGGCCCCTACACTGCCAGATTGGCTGAGAGCTTGTCGAGCAGTCTTACCACCGGGTTTGGACTTTGTCGCTTTAGGCTCCGCCTTACGAGCAGAGACAACATGACCAGCGCCTGAACCGGAGATACGAGATAGTTTCTTCTGCTCTGTAAGAGGTGGAACCGCAGCCTCGACCTCAGTTGGAATAGGCTAGAAAGACTGCAGTTGAAAGGTTGTTCGTGCCAATTAGGACATACGACGCACCACGTCTTCCTTCTTCACCTCTTCGCCCTTCTTATTCCATGATCTCCGCCCTCGCGTTTGGCTGCTGCTCGTTGATGCAACCGAAGCGTCCTCGCCAAATATGAAAGGAAGATATGAAGTCTCTTGCTGTATTATGCCTCTAAGGCTCGACGTGAGATAGCGTACTATATGAAAAAAGATCGACTCACGCCTTTGAGGTAGTTGCGGTACTGTTACCCCAACCCTCTTTCGCAGCCTGGGGAAGTTCCCAGCGCGAATCATCCTGTACAGCAACAGTCGCGGCAGCGGACGATCCAGATGTTCCAGTTTGTTCTTGTGTACGAGCAGCATTCTGCATAAAGCGCAGATTCAAGGTACCCGTACTTATTCCTTTCGGGGCCATGATGGCGAACACGGTCTGTCAACGAGATCAAGGTTGAGGGCAAGTTTTGGACGCCGCGGCACGTGTCGCTCGCACCCGAAGGAGCAGACTCGCACAGCTGCAGCTTGGTCAACTACCACTGGAGTAGGGGTGCCTGGGAGTGCGAGGCAGGAGGCGAGGAGGCAGGAGGAGCACGGCATTCGCCGGCTTAGTCAGCGGTTCGGCTCGGTTAGCACGTCGCATGTAGTAGAGTAGCTCTCATCCTACCACCACGGAGGCAAGCATCGCGCCTTCGGTCTGCTAGCCCTAGCCGCCCGGCCCTCTCCACCACCATCACTCGTTAACCATCACCTCATCATGTTGCCTAACCCAACTCAATACTGGTCCAAAATGAAAAGCGACAGGCTTCTGCATTTGGGGCTTTCTGGAGATTCCGCACAGAGGCCCCATGAAGCGGTTCGCACCCTATACGAACGAGATATTGCTGCATTGTCGAACGTCCTCTCATCGCTCAAGGCCGCGAGGAACGCTCATATTCCGATCCACGAGCTACCGGATGAAGTGCTCCTCGAAATATTTGTAGTGGCCGAGATCCGTTCCATGGAATCCTCTGCGGCTGTTACTAGTGCCTACACTAGCACGTCGGCTTCTCGAAGACTATCGATGGCCATGATCTGCAGTCATGTCTGTACTCGCTGGCGCACATTGGCGCTCACCAGCAAATCGCTATGGAGGGTCATTGACTTCGCCTCAACCAAACCTGCATGGGTATCAGAAGCACTCCGGAGATCTACCCCTGCGGGCCTTATGATTCGCGTCGTCCCTTCTGAGCCGCACACCCTCAATTTCAACGAGCTCATCTCTATCATTAAACCACACTCTCATCGCATCATCGATCTGGAGTTACAACTCACATCTGCTCAAGCGATCTCAATCAGAGAGAGCTTTCCCGTTTGGGCGGCCCTTGGAGCCATACAACGGCTTACAATCCATAGCCATAAAGATATGGCGCGCGATGGCTTCTTTGGGCAACCTCCCCTTGCATCATGGCTCTATGGATTGATCCCTTCACTTCGAGAGGCATATCTTCCTATCTCGATGTTTACCGGAAGAAGCAGGATGCTACAGACCATCCTACCTGATGAACTGACATCCTTGCATCTAACCAACGACAATCAACACTCGTGCCCTCCGGAAGCTACCGTCTCCCTACTCCTTGATCTCCTCACTTTCCTCCGACGTTCAACGAAGCTGAAAACGTTGACCTTGAGCAATGCTCTGCCGCTTGGACGCAGACCCCTTCTTATGCCGGGGCCGAGTCCCGTTCGGCTCGGCAGTCTTGAGCAACTGGAGGTCGTAGAGAAAGGCGATTCATGTGCTCGCGTACTGGATCTCATACGATACTCCAACGAGTGCAGTGTCAGATTAGTAACTGACGGAGACCAGGACTTTCGACAAGTGCCGCGTGTATTGCCCCTCGCCCTGGCCGGCAGCGTGCCTGTGTGGTTGTGCGTAGAGCTGTCGACAGAGTCGCGGCCCACACAGCGGCCTTCGAGCGATCCGGCGAGGCTTGTGCTTGCGCATGTCAAAACATCGCCTTCACCGCAGCAATACTCGAGGGAAGTCGTACCCTCGCATCACCTGACATTCCGCTGGACACGCGATTGGGGACCACAATCTGCGCTATGCCGGTCCCTGCTCGAAGCGGTACCGCTCACTGCTGTCACGCATTTGGTGCTGAAAGGGCCCATACAACTATCTGCCCCGGACTGGTTCGACGTCTTGACCAAGGCGTCAGCCGTCGAGAAGCTCGTCATACACAGCGTCAAATCCGGAGGGTACAATCTCTGCGTCGCGCTTGGGTTTTCCGTCACAGCGAGCACGCCGGAGCTGAATCCTGGCGGCGCACTGCTTCCATTGCTCGCACACCTCGAGCTTCGGGATTGCGATCTTGGTGTGGCTTTTCGCGTACATGCCCCGGAGCACGGGATGTTCATGGAGACGAATGAGTTTATTCCCCTCGGCGAGCATATCCTGCACGCCCTGCAGGCGCGCGTTGAACTCGGAGCAGTTCCGCGCGAGCTTGTGCTCACGAATTGCTCCAGGATAGAGCAGTCTTGGATAGAGGAGCTGAAGGTCATAGTGCCAGAGGAGACGCGGGAGTGGAACTTCGCCGCATGGTTAGGGGAAGCAAACACGAGTTGAAACTCTCGGTATATTGGGATAGCGCTGGTATCGCGATAGTCGGATCGGGTGAAGAGCATGCGTATGACCACGCATTTGGATAGGGAGAGGTGGTGAGGTGAAAGTAGCACGGATACAGGAGGGGAACTAGGGCGTGGGTCGTATCGTAAATAGGTCATAAAATGGTCGTGTCGTGAGTATGCGTCAATATGAGTAACAGAAACCGGAACCCGAAGCAGGGGAATAGGAGCGATAGAGAGCAAAGCAAGTCGAAAGCAAGATACAGAAAGTGCGCTATGAAGTCGAGCGGGGAAGGAAAAGCCACGTCGGTTACCTCGACCACCCGTTGCCTTGCGTTGCCGCGGTATGCGGTCCGCCCAAACCCGAAGGCGCTTGAACGCTGCCTCCCGCGTCGTCACCCTCGCTAGCAGTAACAAAACTGCGATCGTCCGCCACAGAAGCAATGCTCGCGCTGCTGCCCTGCACAGCCGGCGATGATGGAATGAGAGCGCGCAGCGGCGAAGACGGCGCCTGCATCGCAGCAGCGTAGATAGACCGATCATTCGCGCGCTCTGGTTGGATCCATGCCCGTGCGGGGCTCCCGAGCGAATGGCGATGGTAAGGTGGCGAGTGGGGGACTTCGAGGGATTGGCGAGCGGCTGGAGGTGAGCGTGGAGGGGGGCTGAGCTTTGGCGCGCGTGGTGACGTAGCCGGTAGTTGGGACTGGGAACGACGCTTGAATGGCGAGATTATGGGCGGCGGTTGCCATTGAGAAGGGTGGGGTGAAGATGGGTGGGGTGGAGACGGGTCCGCGGTCGAGGGAGCGGCGGGTGTGGGGATCTCGTGCGATGCTAGCGGCGTAGGAAGTGCGACATTGACGACACGCCCAGCATTGACCTGCCGTATCATCGGTTGCCTCCCACCGCTATGTGCGCTAGACGGGACGAGCGAAGGCGTACTTGCACCAGGACTCGTGTTGGTATGTCCAGTAGACGAGCCAGGATGAGAGCGAAAGGCGCCGTGGAAGCCGAGGCTGGTGCCGACGGTAGACGCGCTGTCCACGTGCATCATGGGCGGGCGAAGTTGATTGAGCGCTTCGGGCGGTGGGCTCGTGATGATACGCGGAGCATTCGAGGTGGGGATATTCGTCGTAGCGGTAGGGTATGGAGAGGTCCGCGAGTGCGAGCTGGAGAGCGTGTGCGCTGCTTCCTGCTGCGCACGGTATCCGCGGATGAGGCTCGGCGGCGGGGCATCATCGTACTCGCGCACGCTTCGGGATCCGCGCATGCCCATCTCTCTCCGAGAGTGTGAAACACGCCCTTCTTGTTGCTCCGGCGGCACGGCGCCGTATGCGTACATGTCGCGTACTGGCCGAGAGAAGTTGCGCGTCGGTACAGAGCCGCGTCGCCCGGTACCAGAGGTGAGGTAGTCATCCGCGACATCGTAGCGTGAAGGAGGGTCGAACGGCTCGTCCTCGATATGTGACGAAGATATATGGTCGTAGATGCCACGCCACCACGAACGTCCGGAGGGGTGATACACGTGCCCAGCGCCCGAGGTGTAGTCCGAGGGCAACTTCTCTCCATCGCGATCAATGTCGATAGCTCGGTGTACACCGATCTCAATTGCCCGCCCGCGCGAGTCAAACTCGTACCCTCCCTCCAATCCGTCCTTCTCCCTCACGATGCTCTTCTCATACGGTTCCGCTACGTAGCTCAAAGCAGCTTCCGGCCGCGAGCGCGCAAACAGCTGCTCGTGATGGCCGAGTCGGCGCACGGCGGTATCGGTCTCCTGCCCGCGCATACGCGCTACCATGTAGACCCAACCGTCGCGTATCTCGCGGAACGTCTCGCCGAAGTTGAACGCGTGAGCGAGGCTTCGCAGGCGGGGTGTATGTTCCGGCGGTGGATCGCCTTCGCTCGCCTTGAGCACGTACGGCTTGTACGAGAACGCCTTGATGTGCAGGAGCGCGAACGCGCACATCTCAAATGTCTCGAGGATGGCGCCCCAGCCGACTTCGATGTCTTCGGCGGTCATGTACGGCGTGTCCTTGATGGCATTGAACGTCGCTAGGACGGACAGGAAGGACGCCTGCCAGAACGTGAGGAAGACGACGGCCTTGATGCTGAAGAGTTTAAGGATGGGTTGGTGCGGGGCCAGGCGGGGCGCGACGCAGAGGTAGAGCTGGACTAGACAGTACATCGCGACGGAGACGCTGATGGAGACGATGACGGTGATCCAGACGTAGCCCCATCGGGGACTCCAGCTCTCTTCGCAGTATAGTCCCATGTAGTTCAGTGCGACGGCCGCGAGGGTGCACAGTGGTCGCACAACGATGTACTGGAGTACAGTCCACTTCATGAACTGGAGGAAGTACATTCCATCGGCGGGTCTCCATTTGACCTTGTTGAGTGGGAACCACCAGTGGCCGGGCGGCTTTCCTTGGGATATGAGACGCGCGTCCTGTTCCTTGGAGAGGCCATCTTTGCGGAAGATGTCGGCTAGCTCGACGGGGTCGGGGGACAGGTAGGTGAGGAGGAGGTAGAAGAACGAGACGAGGACGACGCCTTCGTAGCAGTCTCTAATCAGCAGTAACCCTGTTGCATGGTTCTACGCATGACATTGAGTATGTTTATTTGATGAAGATGATCGAGCGAACCCACCCATAAGATGAAGCTCAAGGTCGAGATGACGGCGTAAAGAGGCGGCATAAACAATAGTCGGACAATGTAGCGCTGCTCGGCGCGGTTCGTATAGTTTACAAGATGTTTATTGATGAACCAAAATGAAAAGCCGCAGGAGAAGAGAGTGAATATGCCGCAGACGAGCCAGCCGACGTCATGAGCTTGGAATACGATGTCCCCGTTAACGAATAAAGGCGGTCCCTCGAGCGGCGCTGTTGCTGCATAACACCGCCCGTTGGACATGTGTTCAATCGCCGTCGCATTCGGGGAGGACATCGGAGCCGTCGGGCGCGTGGGCCGGAGGGACGGCGGAGACGCGGGGTCGTGGTCGCTGTGCGAGAAAGGCTCGGAGCGCGAAGCTCGCAATGGCCCTGAACGCGGTCATTTCTCACGCCATCGCATCGTCGTTGGGCTGCTACCACCAAGCATGAATCCAGCCTGTAGCCATGAGGATCCAAGAACTGGTGCCATGCTAAGCGAACATACAGCTTGGCAGCTGATTACAGTCATGCATTACAAGAACGGTACAATTGCGCAAGAAAGTCACTACATCTGCTTATCGACATCGAGGTATCATCCCTGTTTATTTCTCTCCCGCTCAACCATGCGAAGTCCTTCACTCAGAACATCCTGACCCCTGACACGACCATAAAACGTATCCCAAGACGCGTAGGAGTGATGGCTAGCCTGTAGAACTCAACAGTCAGTTTACTGTATGTGACGGGCTAGGAAACCCTCGTACCTCTTTGGCGAGGGCGGAGCAAATGGTCTTCTTGCCTGTGTCTGGTACAGACTTGGCGTGCCAGAGAACTACATCCACGAAGTATGCGAGGTCCTCGTCAGTGAAGACGTAGCCCCTGGCACAGGGTATACGAGTTGTTGGCGCTGAAGGAGCCTGCTTGGGTAGTGTTGTGGGGATGGTGAGGTTATACGCGCTGCGGCCGCCCGAGCCGGACGGCGAGTACTCGAAATCTCCGTCTACGTCGTTCTGATTCATAGAACGCCGAGGCGCCTTGGGGGTTCGGCCTGAGGATCCACGCGAGACAGGCGCGTGACGGCCGGTTGAAACCTCGATAACTTCGGGTTCCGATGGCGAAGGCGAAGGGGATGAGGGGCGCGCTTTGCGCTTCTGCCCTACTGAAACAGTCGGGCGAGATGCAGAGCTCGAGGGCTTGTCGTTAGTACCGCGATTCCTACGTGGGCCATCAAAGTCGTCGCCCTTTGAACTGGACACGACCAGACGCTCAATCTCATCAGTGAACGTGAGATAGTAGTTCTTCCACCACTCAGTTGACCTACCATGGCGCTATATGCGGGTTCAGCACACCGTGTCACGATATGTAAGAGAGCCACGTACGCCATCCATAGTCTCAAGAATAGCGAACCTAGTCATGTCCGCGCTGCGGGCAGCGCGCAAGAAGTGTACCAACGTCTTGTCCAACTGCTCAGACCGTGCATCACGGTACACCATCTCCTTCTCCACAAGGGGATCTCTTGCTTCCTTCTGCGGCTCAGGTTGAGCTAGAGGTTGAGGTTGAGCCAGAGGTTGAAAGAGGTGTGCGAGGGCCGGCCATGGCGGTTGCGCGTGGCCTTGCGGCAGAGGAATGCCGTTCAGCTGCGATACTGTCACAAACACCAAAGGTCCAATAGTGATGTGATGCTTACAGACTGCGCTAATAGCAATGCTTGCTCCATGGTTGGCATGTGGGGAGCTTGTGCGGGTACGCCGGCCGCTAGGGTTGCGGCCATGTTGGGAGGTACTTGTATGGTCCCACCCACGGGGTTACCACCCGTGGTGGCAGCAGCAAGTATAGCCGCTAGTTGTGCGGCATTGATACCTCCAGCAGCAGACATGTCTCGAATGGGTGTCTCACGGGGTTCTGAACGTTCTGATATGAGAGAGTGAGACAAACGCGACGCGCCGAGGACGCGTCCTTTCAGATCAGAAATTCAGAAGGTGGGAACGTTGACGACGCGGTCACGAGCGTGTTCAAAGGCTTGGCTTTCCGGCTGTACTGTCTTCTGGTCGCCATACGTCTGCACGAATAAAGCTCAACCGCGATCATTCCGTGACTGAGCTACGGCACCAAGAACTATACACATATGTCTAAGAAGTATACAATCGACCCGCTTAACTGGCTAAAGCCAGGCTATAGCCGCGAGTAAGGCTCTACTCCTCCTCTTTCGGGGCAGCAGTCGTAGCAGACGCCTCAGCAGCCATGCGGAGTCCTTCCCGAAGAATATCTGGCCCCTTCGCGCGCTTCCAAAATGATTTCCATGATTCCTCAGAGTGGTGCGGAGCCTGTGAACCTGTGAGCGACATGAATTGATCAAAGGTATGAGAGAGCACGCACTCGAGCGCTCAGAGTCGCGACGACAGTCGCTCTGCTGACATTGGGGACCGTCTTTGCCTGCCATAGTATTGTGTCCACAAAGTACGCAAGCTCTTCATCCGTGTATTTGTAATTCCCTTTAGCGCCCGCCGCAAGGTTTGTGGGTATTGAGGGGGCTCGTTTGGGGAGTGTCGTAGGTATAGTAAGCTTGTACGGATTGCCCACCGCTATATCAGCGGTGATGTCGCCAAGTTCGTCGTCAACGTCAGAGGTACCTTGCGTCTCGGTTCGACGGGCCACTTTAGGTGCTGGCCGAGAGCAAGACGCATGGGCGGTGCGCTCGGTCTCGGATCCATCGGATGACGAGCCAGATGGAGTACGCGCTTTGCGTTTGCGTGATGTCGACGGCGACTCTGCCACAAACGGGAATGTGACTGGTCTCAATGTGCCTGCGCTACCCAGAGGTTTACGACGAGCGGGTGTTGAGCATCCGGCGGTGCCATCGTCGCTTGTGCCGGCAAGCTTGACTAGGCGGTCAATATCGTCAGCAAATATGAGGTAGTACGTCTTCCACCACTCGGAAGAGTGGCCATGGCGCTAAGGTTCAGTCAGTATGCTGTGTAGTGGGTGATGCAACGTTCGACGCACTCCATTCATGTCCTCAAGTATGGCGTATCTGGTCATATTCGAGCTTTGAGCGGCACGCAGAAATAACACCAAGGTCTTATCAAGATTATCAGAGCGCGCTCCCCGGTACGGAGCCTCTTTATCCTCCTGAGAAATTTGTGCCGGTTGTTGTGCTGGCTGGGGAGGTGGTGGTGGAGGCGCAGGTTGGGGCTGAAAGAGTTGGGCCAAGCCGGCCCACGACGCAGGTTGTGCGTAAGCCTGTTGGTTCTGAAGCGTCTGCATCTAGATCATGCGCTCAGAGATTTATTGTGACAGTACGTATAAGGTGGCGAACCAATAATGCCAGTGGATTCGCTTGCTCAGGCGCCGCACCTTGCGCTGGTGCACCTAGCGCGTTTCCAGCTGGGGCTACGCGGCCGCCAGCAGCAGCAAGAAGAGCCGCAAGCTGCGCAGGATTCGCATTTCCGGTGGTATTCTGAGCCATGGTACTGCAATGGTATTCGACGGCTGAAGATAAAGGACGAGTCGTAACGCATGAGCGCGTAGTTCAAGACGCGTTCAATCAGACGCGTGCAGGACGCGTTGACGTGTGGGAAGTTGTTGACGCGATCACATGCCTTGAGTGGTACCCATTATTTACATTTCGGAGCGTGATACATGAAGCGATCACCAAAAAGGACACAACCAGCCGGCCCCTGAATTTCAGTCGCCACCGCTCACTTTGATAGAAGTGCTGGCGGCACCAAGCATGCGACGCGCCTGGTCCTGAATCTTTTGCCCATTTGCGTGTTTCCAGAACGTTTCCCAAGACATCACCGAGTGATGCGGGGCCTGTGAGATCATGAGCAATGAGCAAGACCGCAAGCTCGACATTGAAGGACGATCCACATGCCTTTTCATGAAGTGCATTGAGGATGGACTTCTTACTCACACCGTTATCCAACTTGAGTTGCCATAGGATCATGTTCACGAAGAACTCTTTGTCCTCTTCCGTGAAACGATATCCTTTGGTGCATGCAACTAGCTTGGTCGGCGAATCGGGTGATTTATCCGGCATAATAGACGGTATAGAGAGCGTGTATGTGCGTCTCGAGCGGCCATACGTATCTTCACGATCCGAGTCGACGTAGTCGTCGTCGGAGCCATCCTGTAAGCGCTCCTGACAGCGACGCGCCGCCTTGCGCGCTGGAGGTGCTGCACGCGATGCGGAAGCGCCAGATGCACTCGAACTCTTGAGCCCCTCGGGAGCGGGAGATAAGAGAGGTGCCTTGCGCTTCTGTCCCGCCTTGATAGAATCTGCGCTATCGGATGTACTCTGGCTCGAGGTACTCGCCGAAGCGCTAGAGTCTACACGAGCGCTGCCTCTGGCACCCCCGGCTTCATCCATCTGCCGATCTATATCGTCCGCGAAGACCAGATAGTAGTTCTTCCACCAGTCTGGTGAATGGCCGTAAGACTGTTCAATGGTGAGAACGCCAAAGGGTCGAAGGTAGGAGTGACTCATAGCTCACCATACCCATCCGCCCAATCATGGCGAACTTCGTCATACCCAAGTTCCGAGCGGCAAGCAAGAGTTGAACGAGAGTTCTATCGAACTGCTCCGTGCGTGCATTGCGGTACTCGAGCTCCTCTTCTTCTACCGGATCTTTGGACTTCTGCACCGGCGGGAGCGGCTGAGCCAAGGGCTGCTGCTGCTGCTGCTGAGCGGGCGCTGCTTGCTGCGGCATGAGCTGAGCGAGGGCCGCCCATTGCGCCGGAGTTGTATAGGCGGCTCCAGCGCGGGCACCACCTCGTAGCTGTACCAGAAAGGATCAGACATATCTCCAGTGTGCGCGACACAGAAGACGAGAACGTACGTATTGCGAGAGAATGTCGGGGATGACAGTCTGTGTTTGCTGCGGAGGGACGGTCGGAGCACCGCCACCATTGGCGCCCTGAATGGCCGCCAAGTATGCTACGAATTGGTTGGCGGTAATGCCCTGGCCAAAGTATCCGGACATGGAGAGTTTGAGCAGCACGAAGGTCGATGGCAAGATGGGGCTTGTATGAGGCGAGTTATCTGGGAGTGCTGATAACGCGTCGACGAAGGTATAAGGGTTGTTGGTAAGGGTTCCGACAATGCCCCGGAACGTTTGCACGGTCAAGGGGTTGAAGTGCAATCAGTAAGAGAATGCACACAGAGATCACCGCTGATACGACCAGACCGTGTAGTTTGAGAAGATCATATGATCAGCCGTGCGACTTTGCCTGCACACCGCGGGCTCCTGCTTCTGCATCCTCGCTCGCCATACGCAGACGACGTTTAGTTGGCCCGTTTGACGAGTGCTCCTATACGCGACGATGTAGGGTCTACAGGTACGGGTGAATCAGCGAGAGATAGTCCGTACAGAATGTTGCAAAGTACACGAGTGGAAACTTTACAGGATCGCCATTCCCGCCGCTCCCCTCGCGGTCACCTTCTGCGCTGGAGTGCCCGTAGCCTCAATACACGGCCGGCCTTCGCGAAGGGTTCAATCGAGCCCGGGCGAGCCCGGTCAATTCCATAGAAGGAGGATATCCTTTAACGCCATTTCTTTCCGTGGCAGCTACACCAGTGAGTTGTTCCAGAAGTAGTAAGAGTGGATTAGTCTCCGTGTGCTTGGAGAGAAGCTGAGCGAAGGCGGCCAGTCGACGTCGATACACAGAAACCCGTTAGTGTCAGTGATCTCAGAGATCTCGCTCGAAGTCGAATCCAGAGAATGGCACGAAGATCACGATGGCCACAAGCCGCGAATCGCATTCACTCGCGGATATGGAAGCAGGCGTTCTCGCCAGAAGGACCGTAGGTGTCGCTGAGAGTCGAAGGAGAGAAGCGACTCGAGTCGCGGTCCGATCGTAGACAGCCTGGGAACTTTTCAAACGCGGTCACATGCCATGACGCGATACCTTGAGCACCACAGCTGAGATAGTCCAAGATAGTAGTTCGCATAGGTATTGCACGGCATCAAACACGCAACGCTCACTCGCTCATTCATGAACTTCCGTTTTGATTGCCCGAGCGGCCTCTTCAGCCCTCACCATACGCAAACCGACTTCGCGTGCCAGAGTATCAAATCGACGAAGAATGCCCCGTCCTCGGGCGAGAAACAACACTTTCCCTCCCGAACTTCACAAGCACGGGTATTTTGGAGCGCACACGGCTAAGTGAACAGAGCTTGGCGCATAATACACACTTCTACAACGCTCAAGACAAGAGGAATACAGTACAACCCGAGAACATCTCCATGGGAGCGCAACTACTCACGTCATCGAGCCTTATGGCTCTGTCCCTTGTGACTCTGTCTTGACTGCGCGAGCTTTCGCCTCTGCCTTCGCCATACGCAAACCTTGCTCCAGGATAGCACCCGCCTGACGTTTGTTCCAGTAATTGTCCCAGGAGAGATGTGAATGATGAGGAGCCTATAGAGAATATAGCATCAATATGATGTTGAGCGCTGTTCGGGACGATAAATGTTTACCTGAGTGGCGAGAGCTATTAGAATCGTCTTCTTCAACTCATGGGCATCGGCGTGACCGGCCTCCTTTGCGTGCCATAGGATCAGATTCGCGAAGAACGTCTCATCTTCTGGCGTGAACCTGTGCTTTCCCTCTCGAAACTTGACGGGGTTCGTCGGCGGTGGAGGCGGATGTTCGGGAAGTTCGGCGGGAATGGCGAGGTCTGTCGATCCTGTAGCTAGACTAGTACCGGAGGTACTAGGGGTAGGAGCCTCCGCTTCCTCTGCTTCACGTGCCCGACGAGAAGCTTTGTAAGGTCGGCCGGCTGACGTCGCTAGAACTTCGTCAGTGATATCGACGATCTCGCTCGCAGTCGAGTCAGCTGCAGGCGACGGCGACCTGTGGCGTTTACGCGAGGCAGAGACAGCAGAGTGCAATGGATACGCGCGGCTGTGAAACGAAGCGACCATGGGGTCCAAGCGATCCTGGTGTACGAGGTAATAACAACGCCACCAGTCGGCTGAATTACCAAGTTTCTGCCATCGTTGTTAGGACACTAGGTAGATATAGAATAGAAGCAGGACGTACGCCGTGAAGATTCTCAAATGCGGCGAACTTCGATTCGCCGATAATCCGCGCCCCACTGATGAAGAAAATCAAGGTTGCGTCGTACTGCTGTGATTGGGCTTCGCGGAACATCTTCTCCTTCGCCTGGCGCGGAATTGGCTGATCATTGGGTCGAGTAGAGGGCCCTGGTTGGTTCTGGGGTTGCAGGAGTTGAGGATGTTCTTGCATTAGCTTGACCGCCAGCAGAAGTTGAGGGTTCGCCAAAAGCGTGTTTGGAGGAGGAGCGACTGGTGCCACATAGTGATTAGGGACCTGCCGTATATTTGTCAGTGCCGGCTTCCCCAACATGAACGGGCGAGCCACCTGTGCTTGCAACGAATTGAGTACAGCCTGTAGCTCGCCGAGAGGTGGCATTCCCAAGGCCGCCAAGAGATTAGCCACGCCGTTGTCCTCCATGCCGCGTGCTGCCATACTTAGTTTTACCAAGAATCGCGGACTCTTGAGCGTGCAGTAGCTGAAGGCAGGAGCAGGAGGTGATCGTCGCAGTTGAGGTGTGGCAAAGTCGAGCGATGATATATAGGAAGTAGGGCCGGGGCACCCCTTGAACACTTTGCAAGGCGTTGACCACAAAGGTGCGTAGTCGCGAGTGATCTCAAGGGGCACGATCGATAGTAAGTTACGCCCCTCAGAGATCCAGATTACAAGATAGACCATTAATAGAGAGATTCTGAATGTACATCAGCTACGTGTAGGGGAGGTAGCGAGACTGCTGTGATGCCGGAGTTGGTGCAGTTGTCGCAACTTGATGTGGTTGGTATTCATTGATCGCTTCCAGCTATTCGCGAAACCCACGACGTCCATGCAAAGAGAGATGCAGCCACAAACAGCGCGAGTCCATACATTCAACATGGTGTTGTATACTTCGTATCCGTGCCGTCTCCATTGAAGGAGTAGGACACGAGACCATGAGAGTGAAGGACAATGCGAGGACCGTCACTGGACGCGCGTCGCGGTCATGACAGGCCTGGGAAGAATAAGAACGCGGTCACATGTCATGATTGTGCACGGGTTACAACAACCAGTACGTGGTTCGCGTGGAAAGCACCCGACATTGCATAGGTACATAAGCTCATTCCCACTCGCGCGCCTCGGTTTTCACCGCTCGGGCAGCGGCTTCCACCCTTGCCATGCGCAGACCGCGTTCCAAGATGTCGCTGGCCTTGTGCATTCCCCAAAACGTTACCCACGAGGCTATCGAGTGTTGAGGCGCCTAATGGATAATATGAGCTTCTGCAACACGAAAGAGAGAGAAAAGGTCTCACTCTTTCGGCCAGGTCGCGCACGATATCGGTCTTGTTGGCGTCGGGAGACATCTTCGCATGCCAAAGTATTAAGTCGACGAAGAACGTCTCGTCTTCGGGCGTGTACCGATACTTGCCCTCTTGGTACTTCACAGGCTGAGGTGATTTGGGAGGTTCCGTGGGTAGTTTTGACGGCACGGCGAGGTCGGTCTTGTTACTTTTGACAGTACTGGACGACGCTTCCTCGTGATCGCGTATGCGACGAGAAACCTTCCGAGATCGTCCAGACGAAGTGGAGATAACCTCGTCGGTGATGTCAATTATAGAGCTTGAGGTCGACGGTGACCTGTGGCGTTTAGCCGTTCTAGATGAAGAGGAAGGGTGGGAGGATTGAGATGGACCCGCCAGGGGTTGTGTCGGTGTTGAGCATGCTTGACCGTTGAACGAAGAAACCAGGGCGTCTATACGGCTCTGGTGGACGAGGTAGTAGTCTTTCCACCAGTCGGAGGAGTGGCCATGTCGCTATTGAAGATGCGCTTTAGTTGATAGAGCGCAGTAGACAGGAATAACTACGCACGGCGTTCATGTTCTCCAACGCGACGAATTTGGACTCGCCAGCGCTTTGGCCAGCGCTGATGAACAACGCGAGCGTCGCGTCGACCTTCTCCGAGTGTGCGTCACAATATACCTTCTCCTTTGCTTGCTGCGCTGAGAGTTGAGTAGGCGGCTGATGATGGTCAAGGTTTTGCGGGCCGGGTTGCGGCTGTTGCGCAGGAGGCTGTTGTCCCTGTAGCAGTTGCATGGCGAGGAAGGCGAGTTGGGGATTCGCACCGAGGCCAGGGTTCAGCATATTTTGGATCTACAGTAGCCGTATCAGACATTGGTACAGTCATGGGTTATGTTTGAGACGTACTTGGGCTAGAAGCGGGTTCGGCGCTGGCTGTGGTTGCCCACCCACTGCGTCGGGTGCAGCTGGAGGCGGTATGCCGAGAGCAGCCCAAGGGTCGACAACGCCGTTGTTTCCGAGGCCCTGAAAGTTCATGGCTTTCGACTGTTATCTATTGCAAGCGCGCCTGGGGTGAGACGGTCGAGACGAATGTTTGCGACCAGAAACGCTAATGACACGAGGTGACACGAGGGTACTCGCATGATTCCATCAAACGCGGTCACATGATATTTCACACAGTGCTCAGTTACTCCAGTTGCTCGGCCTCCAGTGTGCTTCGCGGTGCCGAGTGTTATATCTTCGCGTCTAATCGTCAAGGCGCTCGTATCCGCCACATGAGAGCGGAATCTAGTGGAGTGAGAAGAAATAATTCATAGAACGCGCGGAACCAAGCTAGTTTCCCTCTCATGGAGTGGCTATTTGAATGCGGAGAAACTCCGGGTATTTAGAACACTGCGAAAGCACGACACGGATATCATACAAGTGGTGAATAACCAGCGGCCCGACTTTTTATTCCCAAACCTCGTTCTTCACTATCCTGGAAGTATCGCGGCGAGTAGCCGTCTCTAACTCGGCCATGCGTATACCTTCCTCCAAAACGTCGTCGGCCTTGTGTAAACTCCAGTACGCAGCCCAAGAGCCGTGCGAGTGATGAGTAGCCTAAGGGGTTCGTTAGTATCCACTCTCAACGCGTGCCACTAACAGTCATGGCGAAGGACTCGGGGAGCATACCTTAGCAGCTACATCGAGCAAGATGTCCTTTTTCAGTGTCTTCAAGCTAGCCTCGGGGTCAGACTTCGCGTGCCAGAGAATTGTGTTTATGAATAAAGAGATGTCTTCGGGCGTGTAGCTGTTCTTCCCTGACTGGAGCGCCACGGATCGCGTGGATGGCTGAGGAGGTTCGGATGGTAATGTGGAAGGTATGACGAGGTCTGTCCTGGATCCTTGCGCTTCGCTCACCGGCGCCGAGCCGCCTTGACTGGTACGCCGACCGGATGAAATCTCGCCGCTTTCTCTGACACGACGCGAGGCTTTGAGAGGACGACCGGACGAGCTTTCCTGAGTGTCGTCGGCGAACCCTGTGGTGTTGGACCCGGATGCTACTGGAGGCGGCGTTCGGCGTCGCTTGCGAATAGGGGCACTAGCGGAGGGCTTTGATGACCCCGCATTAGCCTGAGTGGTAGCGGTGCTAGTCGGGAAGGCACGGCGGTTGACCGTGGCAACTAGAGCGTCCAGCCGCGTCTGGTGAATGAGGTAATAGTCCTTCCACCACTCAACTGGATGACCGTGTCTCTAGCATAAGCGTCAGCACCCGTGGTGAGCAGCGGAAGATGAGCGGAGACGCACCCCATGCATGTCTTCCAAGCCAGCGAACTTTGATTCTCCGGCGCTTAGCGCGCCGCTGATGTAGAACGCCAGTGTTGCATCGAGTCGTTCGGATTGTGCGTCGTGGTATGTCTTCTCCTTCGTCTGTCGCGGAGATTGTAGTACATTCGATGTGCCGCCACCTGTTCGTCTTTGGGAGCTCATCAGGTCTACGAGGAGAGGATGAGCGGGCAGGTGTCCAATCCGAGAGCGCTCGAGATGAGCGTTGGCGGCAAGAGTTGCTCGTGCGATCAATTCGCGGTCACATGTTTCCTCGCGTCACGGTGCTGCGCGCGCGCCGGGCCAGACGACGCAGCATAGGTGGCGTGAAGTGGGATCGCTGTACAGTACTCCGACGTGCTCCGTCGCATTATGGATCTAATGAGTTGACCTATCTCGCCCCCACGGACGCCAGAGCGCACAAGGATCATTCAGAGAGGCGAGAACCATGCTTCATCAAGGTAAGGAGCGTCGAACGCAGTGAGGCGTATTAGGCTGAATAAGTATGGGGATAGAGATGTACTTGTGCGCAAAGATATTATACATGGAGCTGGTAGTGATACATGAGGAAGAGACTGTTGGCGCGTGCAAGAAGAATAAGCATGACGGTCTCGAGTGCAAGATGGGGTGTGGAACGAGCATAGTGTACAACAAAGAAGGTGCACTGTGGCAAGAACGTCAAGAAAAGCAGGCAGACGCGCTCGAATGAACGCGAAGAGAGTCGGCCAGGGGTCTGAATGACTGCCCAACTACGCAGACCGATCCTGCGCGCGCCTCGCCATTTCCCTTCCCTGCTCCAGAATAACCTGACCCTTGGGCTCAGCACGGTTCCAGAATGTGTCCCAGGACATCAACGTATGATGTGGTACCTATCCAACAATCACAAAAGCCTCAGCCAAACCGTCTCCACAGGAGCATCAACCGAGCGGACGAACCTGCTCATTCATCTTCTTGATATACGCCGCCTTCGTCAACGTCGTCCCCATCTTCGCCTCCCAAAGCAAAAACCGAACAAAGTACGATTTGTCTTCGTCCGTGAAGGCGAACCCGCGCTTGATCTGGACGGGCGCGGGCGGGCGCGGCGGGGAGGTGGGGAGCCGTCTGGGGATGGTGAGATGGTAGACGTGTTTGCGCCATACTTTGGTCTTGGGTGCCTGTTTGAGTGGGGAGGGCGAGGAGAGGTCGTTGGGGTGTTTGGATTGGCGGGAGGAGAGGCGGCGGCGGGTGCGGCGGGGAGTGTCTTCAACAGAAGATTCGTCGTCGTCGTCGTCCTTGTTCTCTTCAGACTCGGACTGAGACTCAGACTCAGACGAGGTAGACTCGAGATCGCTCTCAGGAGTCGGCGAGGGCGCTTTGCGTTTCAGTTTGAGCTTCGACGAAGAAGGTCCAGGCCGCGGTATTGGCTTTCTGGACATGCTGTGAGAAGGACCGGGCGTAGGCTTGATGTGGTTCACAGAGGTCGAGGCTGAGAATGGGGTGGGAGCGTGTGTACCACGCAGCACCAAGCGATCGATCCGGCGCATGTGTTCGAGATAGTACTGCTTCCACCATAAGACTGAACGGCCGGGTGTCTGTAGGATCGTATATGTGCATCAGTAGGTGTCTGCATGCAAGAGAGATGTGATGTGGACGTACGACGGGTATGCAGTTCATTGCGGTCAAGTACGAGATGCCATATGTCCGCGCTGCAGTCAAGCCGTTGAACAGTACATTATCGTATTCATCCGACTTTGTGAAGTCTTCCGAGTCGGGAATGGTCGGTTGCTGTGACTGGAATGGGTTCAACCAGGGAGCCTGAGGCACTTGTCCGTTCGGCACAGTGAAAGGCGCAGACGTCTGTTGACCGAAAACGCCGAACGGAAACAACGGGAGTCCTGCAAAAGCATTCGAGCCACTGCCAGACGCAGCAGGAGGCAGCATAGACCCAGAGGCTTGCGAGGGCAGAGGCTGAGCGAGCGTATTGCCGTTGCCGTAATTCATTGTCGGCCGAATGAGGAAATGGCGATAGGAGGTCGTGGTGGTACGCGGACAAAAACCGACGTGCCACCCGTTTGATGCCGCGGTGCCGGCCCGACGCGCAGGCGGGCTGGCGTCAAACGCGGTCACGCGTTTTCGGGGATTGTTGCGGACGACGTTCACGGCTTCCACGACCCTGTCTCTGACATGCATCTCTTGGGATGGGCGCATGCAAAGGCTGATCTTGGCTAGTCCAAACGCTGGTAAATTGCATGGCCCTCTGTCAGAGTCGCAGCGCTGAGCAGTGATATGTCTAGATGCGCTGACGCTTCGGTACGCCGTACTTCCGAGCCCGGAATGATACAGCTTGTGCCGCTATGGGATTAGTCCGCAGCTGAGGTCAACTCTATGACGGTCGCATTACCAACATCGCGACCATGTGAGTACAAGAACTTTTGCCGCGCACTTCAACATCCAACTCTCAACTCTCAGCCTTCAACACTGTCCGCCATGTCTGCTGTCCCAAAACTCTTCCAGCCCATACGCGTCGGCGCGTCCAACCTGAAGCACCGCGTAGTCATGGCGCCCATGACGCGCAACCGCGCTACAGATGCGCACGTTCCCACGCCGCTTATGGCGGAGTACTACGGCCAGCGCGCGTCTACGCCTGGCACGCTGCTTATTACCGAGGCGACGTTTATTGCGGATAAGGCTACGGGACAGCGGAGGGCGCCGGGGATCTGGAGTGAGGAGCAGATCGAGGGTTGGAAGAAGGTGTGTGTGTGGCTGTGTACGTGGTGTAGTGGGAGGTGAACGTGTGGCTGATAAGCGGTAGATCACCGACGCCGTGCATGAGAAGGGCTCGTCTATCTACCTCCAGGTGCGTCTTGCTGCTCTCGCATCTCACTTCGTCGGTGCTGACTGGGTATAGCTGTGGGCTCTTGGACGCGCGGCATACCCCGAGATCCTCGCGGAGAAGAACCTCGAGTACGTCGCTGCAGACGCGATAGGCCTTCCGGACCGCAAAGCTGTTCCGCGCGCTCTCACGAAGGACGAGATCAAGGAATACGTCGAGCTCTTTGGTGCTGCCGCTCATAATGCTATCAAGGCGGGGTGCGACGGTGTACGTGTAACACTCTGGCCAGATACAGCTAAGTTACGTGGCGCAGTGCTGATATGCTGCGTATCTACAGGTCGAGATTCACGGCGCCAACGGCTACCTCCTTGACCAGTTCTTGCAGGACGTGTCGAACCAGCGCCAGGACAACTACGGTGGCTCAATCGAGAACCGCATACGCTTCACCGACGAAGTCGTCGACTCCGTCGTCAGCACCGTCGGTGCCGAACGGAGTGCCATAAGACTTAGCCCATGGTCTACCTACCAAGGTTCGCTCTACGAGTACTCTACTACCTATGATGCGATTCTGACTCCGATGCTATAAAGAGATGGGCATGGCCAACCCAATCCCAACATTCGAAGCCCTCGTCAAGCGCCTCGACACCAAACACCCCTCCCTCTCCTACATCCACGTCGTAGACCCCATGGGCCCGCCCGCCGCCAACCAATCCACGATCGAGCGCTCAAACGACTTTATCGGCAACATACGTCTCCCGCGCCCGGTCATATTCAACGCCGGGTACGAGAGGGAGACGGCGATGAAGAAGACCGAGGAGCAGGAGGGCGCGCTGGTGGCGTTTGGGCGGCATTTCATCGCGAATCCGGACTTGGTGGGAAAGTTGGAGAGGGGAGGGGAGTTGAGGCAGCCGGACTTTGAGAAGCTGTATTTTGGGCCGGAGGGGCAGCCGGAGAGGGGGTATACGGATTATTGAGTTCGCGTCGGAGTAGATCGTTTGCTCGTGTATGGCATCGAGGCTCGCGTACGGAGGTCACTGAATGTGTTAAGGACGTTGCCTATCCGCTGTGGCCCGATGACGCGACCGAAGTATCGCTCCGATAAGATTAGATTAGCATGTCCAAAATCAGATCAACCGCGGGCCCGTCCAAACTTTGTCTCGAGCCATCATCAGCGCTCGACACGAATCGCCACAACTTATTCTCCTAACTTATCGCCCCTCTCCGCATCCTATCCAATGTCCGACTTTGCGAACAAGTTCCGTCGCTCGCGACTCGACATCCCACCCGCGACGTCCGGACGGCCGAGGAGCCAGGCGCTGCAGAAGCAGATTGGGTACCTCGACGACTTCAAGATGAAGGACTACTTTTTGTTTCATGATAGTGATCCGGGTGAGGATGGGGCTGTATCTATCGATGGTGCGTACATGGTGGCTCAAGACCGTGTATCTGATGTGCTGAAGAGGGTTTGCAGAGTTGCCGGCCGCTGCGGTGTTCATCCACATGCGCAATAAAGTCATGACAGAGGGACACGAGGGGGCGTTGCTGTACTTTTATCGCGTGCTGCAGAGGTCGAATAGCGCCACCAGCGAGCGCATGTACCAGAGATTTGAACTTGATCTGAGGAGGCAGATCAAGAGGGAGTACGGTGCGCATATCATTCCATCGTTTGTGAAGTCTGGTGCGCTGACCTAAGTCGTACAGGTGAACCAGCAGAGCGTATGTTCGCCGCTCTCGACCGCGGCCGCCCTCCCACGCCCCCCGAAGTCACAGTCGAAGAAGTAAAGCGCTCCCTGCGCTACCTCAAAGACCTCGGCCGCTTCAAAGAAGAGCTCGAGTACTACGTCCCCGAAGAGGACAACACGTCGCAGATGATGGGCCTGCAGGTCGGACCGATGAAAGACGTCACTGCGATCGTGCATTTCCCGAAGGGGACGATGCCGCCGCAGGTGCTGTTGGATATCGCGCGGGTGCCGAAGGACGCGCCGAGCGGGGCGAAGAATAGGAATGAGAGGAGGGCCGCGGCTAGGGCGAAGGCTAAGAAGTCGGCGGCGAATCCGACGCCTGGGGCGCTCACGGAGACGCAGAAGCTGGGACCCAACTTCGGTGCGCTTTCTTGTCTCTTTCTCTCCATGCCGTCTTCTGATGAATGGCGCGTGCTGCACAGAGGACTGGAAGCTCGCAGACGGTGTAGAGCACTCTCCCGCGCTGAAACGGCAGATCGCGTTCCTCCGCGAGAACCCTAAAGCGGACTACATCCTCTGGGGCAAAGAAGACGACCCGATCAACGCCTACGCGCTCGAATTCCAAGACTTCGTCATGGGCGGCTCCTTCGCGGGCTACCGCCGCCGCCTCTTCATGAACGGCGGCTCGGACCAGTACTCCCTCGCCTACCTCATCCTCACCCTCGTCCCCGCCGTCCGCCGGCGCAAGATCACGCTCCAAGCCATCTCGACCCAGCTGCGCGACGAGTTCGGGAAGGAGTGGGTCGACCAGACGCTGGAGAGTATAGACTGGAGCACGATGCTGTGGAAGAGCCATCTGACGGGCAAGCCGTTCAGGTGGGACACGATCCCGAACTGTCAGGAGGATCTGTTCGAGGTTATGCCGATGCTCAAGGCGCTGGGGAGGTATCCGGACTATCTGGGCAGGATGACGAATGAGATGATTCGGAATGCGGCGAGGAAGATGAAGGAGGAGGGGCAGAAGACTGTGAGTGATATTGGGAATGGGAGGTCGGGGCCGAGGCCGGGGCAGCCTTTGAAAGGACCTGTGAAGACGCAGGCGCAGACGGGGGATGTGGAGCGATCTTTGCAGGATTTGGCTTTGGAGGAGATTGACTGAGAAGATATAAGACTGTACAACATATATACTGTATCGATAGCCCGCACACGTACATCTCTACGACCAACCATTCTAACAGTTCTTCATGCGTGCATAGGCTGAGGAGCATCTTACGACTAGACGCCTGGTTTACCATATCGAATGCACATAGCATCTTGCACTAGAACTGGCGCTCTTCGAACGCGGAGGTCGATCATGCAATCATAATTTATTCGTGAAGCGGGGAGTGGTATGGTAGTACAGTATGGTACGCAAGTGAGGCGGGTATCGGTCGATTACTACACGATGATACGGCCAGGCGGAGCGAGAATACGGAGCGGAGCGAGATATGAGGATCGAATCGAGACGTGGAGAGACGAGAGACGCAAGAGGAAAGAGGAGAGAGACGGATCAGAAGCGTGAGGAGTGAGGAATGAGGAAGCGCAAGAGCTATAGTACAGATAACATCCCACAACAGGGAGATACCAGCCGGAGAGACGAGATCGTTCGAGTTGAGAGAGTAGAAAGAGGAAAGAAAGAGATGAGGCCGTTTAACGAGCCGAGTTGCCCTCGACGTCCTCGCGCTCCCACACGGGTACAAACTTGGCCGCACGGAGCTGAGTCACGTTGCGCCGGAGGCGGATGAGCCTCCCAACATCCTCCCACTCGAGGTCCTCATCGTCAAATACATCATCGCTCGACGAAGAGTTGATGGAAGAGGTGTCCGAGTTGTTGCTGTTGCGGCGGAGCACAGCTGGGGCGCTGACGGGGAGCACGAGCCTAAAAGCGTCCTTGCCGTTCAGGTAGAAGCGGTGCAAGCGCTTCTCGCGGATGAAGCCGAGCGAGCTGTAGAGCGCGAGGGCAGCGCCGTTGTCGTATTCGGTCTCCAGCGCGACCTGGAACAAAGGAACGTTAGCGCCCGAGTCGAACGATACAGACGAAACGCAGTCGGGCGATAAGAACACGACGCCACGGCACGACATTCCCATGCGGACGTAACCGGTCCCGGCAGAGATACGAGATAGCGTATAGCCTCTGGCCTGCTCCAGCGTACATGCTGACGGGGAGCACCCGGGCACGATACTCTGTTGGACAGGTTGGAGCGCACGGCACGGATAACGGTGTGGGAAACGCACGGCTACGGCTGGCTGGAGGTATCTCAACCCCAACGAGACGTCGTGACGTGGCAGGTCCGGGGCGGGCTCTAACGCGTATGGGGTTCGCAAGGAGCGACGAGAGACGAGAGAAGGAGAGAGGCTCACCTCTTCGACGCCTGTGGCCTTCATGGCTTCAACCGAATGACGCACGAGGGCGCTTGCTGGGGACACACGTTCGTCGGTCAAGTGCCATCACGCAACGACGAACGAATCGAGGATGGGCCGGACCGGCGATGGAGAGAAGAAGCACATCAAAGCGTTAGTGGATGCGGGGAAGTTGAGAACGTCAAAGACACGTACCGACACCCTGCTTGCGGTAGGACTTGTTGACGGATAACATGGCGATATACCCACGGTTGATCCTCTCCCGGTGTACGCTCTGCTTGCACACAATGACACCGACGGGTATCGGGGAGTCGGGCGCGAATGCCTGATAAGCTATGTTAGTACACGCGCAAGCTGTGGCACTCGCTGCCGACACTTACTAGGAAAGACAGGTGTGGCCTAGGGCGCTTGATAAGCACATGGTATTTCTGCGCACACGACCAAATACACATACCACTGGCGCAAGAAGTAGCGGTAAGTGTACACCACATAGGGCTCGGAGAGCTCAGACTGGACGAGGGAGATGATGTTGGGCAAGTCGGCCTCACCCTCGTACGAGCGGTAGATAATCTCGGAAGCAACGGTGGCCATGGTGGGAGGTGCAGTAAGAGTAAGTTCAGGCGGTAGCGGTACGGGCTTATAAACGACGGGAATGGGCGTGGCGGGAGAAGTGCGTGGGTCGTGGTCGTGGGGAGAAGCAAGTCGCGTCAGCTGGAGAAGACCGCCGCGGCATCATAAGTACTTGCGCGGCTTCGCGCTTGCGCTCACCACACATCCCTTGTCATTTGATGCGTGCCACCTCCCGCTTTCGCTAAGATACGGCCTTTCCTACACCACGAGCGGCCCCATTCGTGCCTGCTAAAGTTAGAGTGTTGCATGCCCTTGTCAATCGGGCGCTTCTCTCTCTTCGCCACCGAGATCTGAACTTCGCGAACGCTCGGGCGATACGGCGGATACAGCGACCGAAGCTTACCCGGACACACGGGGCGGCTGCCTCGGCGACTGCTATCACGCTGGGGAGGCGACGCGAGGAGATGAGCGCCCTTTGCGGTCCTCGCGCAGGCACCGTGTTGGGCTCGTGTCGTTACAGTTTAGGCATCCGCCGTTATCCTATGCGCGGTGACGCAAGAAGCCATTCATGTCAGTCTAACTTTGGCATGTTCCACAATGACCGTATAAGACTATGCTGCAACGCATATACGGTCGGCTCTGACTCGTTGCCGGGAGTTGAAGTGTGCTTTTGGGAAGTGGCGTTGCTATCCGGGCCAATATAGGGCGGAGTTTACTGTGGAAAGTCGCATGCGCACCGAGTCCAACATCATCATGTGGCGTCTATTCCTCGGTCGCGCATCATACATCAACACAAGCGAATCTGGACGTGTTCTCGAACGAGTTGACGTTGTATGCTGCGTCGACGCCGTACGCTGCATGACCAGGCGCTTTTGCGGTCGGCGTCAAGGATCGGCAACTGCCAGACGCGCCTGGTCATCTGAGCGCTTTAGATCCTGCCGCAATTGAACGGCTTCGCTCACGTTCGCCTGGCGAAGGCTTCGAGCCGACTTCGAGCCTTCGAACGGGCCTGAAATCGGCAGATGCGAGAAGGCTGTATAAGACGAGCGTGCGCACGCGTTTAATCTCGGTGCATAGCGATCAACCCTACGCCGAGCGACATTCAAGATGCGAGCTGCGTGTCTGCAGCGTGCCCGCGATAAGACGATAAGCTCATGAACCCTGCACATCCCTCTACCCATCCTCGCACACTGCCCGTGAAGACACTCCGGATCCCTTTTCATCCCCGTTCTTCTGACCACCGCGGCGACTGATTCCAGTACTGGGCTCTCAGCATGTTGACAACTTTATCTACTGATCATCGTACAGTCTACGTCTGCATTCTACGCATACACGGTCCGAAGCATCTGCAAGACGACTTTCGCAGTCTCCCGCGCGGCGCGTTCCAGTCCCGTTCCGCCTGGCTGAGTTCGGAAGCGACCAGTTGGCGCTCGTCGCTCTGTACGGGCCGCGGCTCTCATATCCAGTCGTGTCATCTCCCAAGTGAGTACTGCATCTTGACCTCCATACTATCTCGATTGTAGCGGGCTCACATGAAAGTGCAGATGCTCGGTTCAGCGCTAAATGCAGTAGCTGCTCATTCTTCGACGAGGCGCCGTCTTGATACCCCAAATCGATTTGCAACCCCCTCCGCGGAGGCATCGGTCTCGACCACAATTCTCTATCTCACCGTGCAAAGTTCCTCTCTCAAGGGTTGTGGCGCGGAGCCGACTTCCATGCCATAAATACAACCAGTGATATGAACTAATATGGACATCATGCGTCACATTGATGCGCAAAGACAATTGACATACCGCAGGCACACTTCAACATCAGCGCTTCGACTCCTACGCAGCATATCGCGTTCGATCATCTGTTTCTAGAAAGAAACTCGCGCGCCTCCATGGCAAAGAGGCCGGCGCACATAACAATAAGAGCTCGCGGCTCCGAACGGTCCTGTGTCTCGCGCGCGTCAAATCTAAACGCGGGATTGAGCTTGCTTTCCGCGGCTGGTTCTCCCGCCTGTGTTCGCGAATTCAATGGGTGCCACTCCGTGTGTGTATTCTTCACCGCTCTGGCAGCGCGGCGAAGTGAAACTCCTCGGAAGAGTGTTGCGGAGGGAATGGAGGTGCTGGTCCTGAGGCGTCAGTGCGATGACTATGTAAGTAATACGTTCGTACAGCCGTCTTCGTTGGTCCAGCAGCGAGGCCCAGCTGACGTGTCTTGCGTAGGCGTACCTCATATCCATCTGGAAATAGCTCTCGACGATCAACTATCTTGTGTGCGCCATACAGTACTGGAGCCAGTGAGACCTCCGGGCCAAGTCGTCGCGACCACGCCAATTGTCTCGCGCTCGGTGTCAATCGGTCCTCGCGGCGCTACCGTCCAACCCGCCATGATATTCTTATTGTCTGTGCCGGTACGACAGTCCGAACTGCGGACCACCCTCAATCTTCGTCGAGCGCATCTGAACTTGGCGAGGGAGGTATAAATGCAGGCGCGCGCGGCGAGCAACGGATTCTTCAGCTCGCTACCTCACTCGCGATCTAAAGCACCTCCTCTACTACTACCCGCGCCACCTCTACTCTCTCACCCACCCGCACCAATCTGCAATGGACGCCTTCAACATGATCCTCTCTTACTTCGTCAAGGTTGACGCTGCCGAGCCCGTCCAGGACCTCCCCGTCGAGTCTGACTCCGGGGATAACAGCAACGGCGGCTCCTGCACGGTCGCTTAAACGCGTCGTCGCATTGCACCCCCTGCGCTACCTTGTCATCCTGCCGTCCATATGCTAACCGCCATGTACGTGTTCTTTTTCTTTGCGGGTTGTTCGATCGCAGGGGCTGACGATGCGCGCAGATAACCATCGCACATACCACCACCACCTTCGATCTTCGTTCTTAATGCTGGGCTTTTCGGTTTTGATGAGGGGAGAGGGAGAAAGAGAAGAGTATCGGACTTGTATTGCCTTGCATTACCTTTGTTGTATCATCAGTCTGCCGCCTCGATTGCGCGCTCGCACACTTGAACTCGCTGAACAAACTGAACTCCGTGTGATCCTCGCTACATATTACGATCCGGCAAGCACACGAGAGCATATATATGAGTGCACTAGTAGAACCCATTGCTGTACGTTTCCCGAGCGCTAAGAGTGTCCGCGTCCCAGTCCCTCATCCGCGCTGGAACGGTTGTCGCCCACCATTTCACCTGCTCTGAGAGTAACTTGCACTTCCGCATCGTGATCTTCCGAGGTATGCCGGAGAAGACCATACGCGCGGTAAGAGCCCTCGTGAACGCCTGATGCGCGGGTATCCTGACTTTGTGATCGATTCCCTTGAAGTCGACGTCTTCGCAGCTAAGGGCGCGCAACTTGGGGAACAACATCTCCGACGCATCCATCACCAATTCGAGAGCGTCGTCAGCTCCTTTCTCGACGGCTTCTCCGCTTGGTGGTGTAGTGTTTGCAGTTGACGAACCGAGAGCGTAGAACAGGCTGAAACAGTCCCGGCCGACATGGAGGTATTGCACGCCCTGCGCGGCACGGAAGTGATTGATCCAATCACTGGCTGTCCATCCTATGTTAGCGAGACCCCTTACAGCGGTGTGTAGACTCTCTAGTCGTGTCGTGTCGACGGAAGAGAGGAGGTTGAGCATTAGTTGCCTCCCTTCGGCTTCTGAGATAGGCATCTCCGTGGTGTCGAACTTGATCGACAAGCTGGGATCTGTCTGCGCCGTCTGTGTTGGCTCCATGTCGACGAGATGAGAGTATTCGGAGGTACGATGAGCGTCCATGGAGAAATGCGTTTGGTAGGTGGTGAAGTCTCCGGCGATAGATAAGCGCGAAAATGGGTCGGCATCGGCCGAGTTCGACACCGATTGTATGATGGGGATAAAAGAGGCGACGTGGAGAGCTTCCCAGTTAGTGCCCTTGATGCCTATTTCTAGCTTGTTCAACCCGCGCAGCGTATTGATCGACGCAATGACGCTCAGACATCCTTCAGCCTGACCGTTCAGTCTCAGCGTCCGAAGCTGAGGCAGGTCCAATCCCTTCTTCCCGGCAACATGCGACCATGATGGGAGGTCCTCGAAATCAAGAGATAGGAGCGCGAGATCCGCAGAGCGGCGTAATAGACGGTATAGACCGGTAAGAACTTGGCGCGACTCAGTGGCTTTCAGTGAGTGGCCAGAGCTGAGAATGGTGATGGATTTCAGCGTGGATGGTAACAACGTCCAGGGAAAGCCAAGGAGCGCGTCGGGAAGAGTGATCGCGGTGAGAGAACTCAGAGACGCTGAAAACGTGTTGTCGGGCATCTGCAGAGCACCATAGTTCTTGTCCGTTTGAAGAGACACGGAAGTCAACGCTGCCAACGACGTTGCATGCGCGAAAACGACCGAGAGGACTGGTTCGATGATGGTCCACGGTGCCGCGAAGTCGACCTTTGCTACACGTTGTGGCGCCATCTGGACTATATGTTCTAGTGAAGGGCGCACACGCTTAGTGTCCATTCCGCTTGAGTATCTGGTCTTCATCCTTGTGTCGCATTTGAGGAAGAGTGGCGCAGGTGACGAGCGTAAGGCGAAGACTTCGACCCACTCCGGCCCCAAGCTCAATACCGGCTCGTTCCAAAGAGAGCGACATTCCAGCGCCGTGTTTCTCCAGAGGTTACAGACTTGTGACAGGGCCAGCCAACCATAACGCGGTCCGTATCGTTGATTTTCGGGGGCGTCGAGGTCCCGAGCCCACAGGAATATCTGGATCAGGACGTCGGGCGACAGGCGACAGGCAGGTTCCAGAGAGTTCAGCGAGACTCGTATAACAGCCATTGAAGCTGCAGCCGCATCGAGCTCGGCTTTGGCGGCCTCCCTTGCGCTGAGAATGTCGGAGGAAGGTGAGGCTCGATTGTGCGCGATTTTGTCGACGGGTCCTAGACGTGCGTGTGCATGAGCTATCCATGCTTGGCGTGCTCTGTGCTCCATCCAGTAAGTTCCACAGTGTATGTCGGAGTATGGTCAACTTGCATCTCGTCCTGTGTAGTCATGGTGGTTGAGAGTTGACCTTGAGCTTGAATGGTCGAGTCGCGTCTTCTTTCGATAGAGGCGCGCACGTGGGCGGCAGAATGACAATCCCCATTGACGCCCGCTTTTATCACACTGGGCTACTTCGACGGCCCTCGCATATCGTCAAATCAATTGAATACTAAGTACATCAACATGGTATACGAAGCTATCTGTGTATCGTACGTCTGAGTATAAGCAGTAGCATAGGGTAGCGCATTTTGATTGGTAGAGTAATAGACGCGGTGTGTTGTCGAAATGAGCTATTACAATCAGTATAGTGATGATACTAGTGTCGATTCAGTGAGGGAGGCCTTGCGTATGGATGGATTGGATCAGGGGTAGGATGTATCGCGGTGTAGGGTTGTTTCAAGCGTTTCCCGTGAGTGAACGGGCATTCCAATCGCGCATGGTCGCGGGTACCGACGACTGCCACCAACGAGCTTGATCGCCGCTGAGCCGACTCCCTTTGAGAACGAGCCTACGCGGCACTCCAGACAAGGGTGCACGGGCGGAGAGGACCCTCGCAAACATTTGATGCGCAGGGAACCCCTGACCGATCTGATCGAAGTCGAAGTCCTCGAAGATGATCGATCGAAGAGAGGGGAAGACCATGGCGTTTCGGTCTGTGACCGGTTCAAGGTCGTCGTCTTGTCGCAAAAAACTTTTGGGCCCGGTGAGTCCTTGTCAACCGTGCGCAGCCTCTGGCACTCAGTGACCCGACGCGGTCAGCTGATCGCGACCGGGTCGCCAGCTGGTGGCCAGACGGTGGTCAGACGGTCACCAGCGTCTGTGCAAGAGGTGTTCACCAGCCCATAACCTCTGAAGGAATTTTTAAATGATTAAAATACCATTTTCTGATATTTTCTTGAGCGCTCGGCGAGAGCGATCAGCGCGTTCCACGTGCAGCTCATGTTCTGGCGACCGGCTGGCGACCAGCTGGCGAGCCGCTGGCCACCACGCACGGGTCTGGTCACCCAGTGACCAGACGCTCGCCAGGCGCTCGCTAGGTGCTGGCAATGGCCGGCACGGACTCACCGGGCTCAAAAGTTTTTGCGACAGTCTTGTGTGGTCGCTGCGACGCGCTGATTTGTCGTAGACAATCCGAGCACGCGGATTAAGCCGGCACACTCCCCACTGATATGAAGATTATGAACGCCCTGAGCATCACGAAGAATGTTTAACCAATGTATGGCTGTCCAATCTGCGGCTGAGAGGCCCGGAAAGTTCACGTTCAACGCCAGTGTTCGTGTGATACGAATGCACGAAGCGACTTTCGTGACAAGGTCTCGTGCTTCATCCTTCTGAAGCGTGCCAGGAATGAATGTTATCGATAGCTCTGGATGGCGGAGAGCGTCTGCACCGAGAGGGCATGGTGAAGCTCTTCTCGCTTCTAAGGAGACGTTTATGGGGTAGACCTTGTAGTTTCCAGCGATATGTAACTCCGTATATGGCTGCGGATGTAGGCGGTCGTTAAGGTGATCGATAAGTTTAGAATGGAGTCGACGTAGAGATCTGCCCAGCCATTGCCAGTGACGAAGTTCAGTTGGCATAGTGTGCGATGAACGTGAAGAGAGCGAAGGACATCCAGACACGCTTGCGCTTTGCCAAACAGCCTGAGGACCTTGAGTTCTCCTAGATGCAAGATCCTCACTCTCGGGACGGGCATGATGTTCCAAGACGACAGTTGTTGGAAGTCAAGCGACATGGTGAAGAGCTTGGGTGAACGGCGGAGCCACGCAAAGAGACCAAGTAGGTACTTCCGTGAATGCTCCGAGTCAAGGTGAACACCGGCGCTTATGACATCGAGCGATACCAAGGTAGTCGGGATGAGTTGCCAGATATCGGAGGGAATGTTATCGGGAACACTCAGGCGGGAGAGCGATACGAAGTCGCCGGCCGAACTGAGAGTGGGATGTCGGAGTACATCCTGTGAGTGAGCGGATACGATGGATAAGGAAGTTAAAGTGGATAGCCTTGCCGCACGATCGTACACTTGAGGCAGAATCAACTGCAAGGTAATCGGCGGTTTCAAGGGAAAGCATGGTGACACGCTCAGGTGCAGTCTCCATGACATGAGCTAGAGCCTGTTGAACGAGTTTCCATCCTGTGTCGTGTTCCACATCCGCAGGTCCGATGGTACGGCCGGGCTCGCGATATGCAGTAGTTTTAAGGTCGCATTGAACGGATAGTGGGCAGGCGCGCGAGCGGGAGATGAACGCGTCGGCCCAGTGGTGACCGAGGCAGACCACTATATCGCTCCAAAGTGTGCTGCACTCGATGGAGATATTTCTCCAAAGGCGGCATGACTGCGTGAGAGACAACCAACCGAGGTATGGCCGTTGGTCGTAGCGAGGAGGGTCGAGAATCTGGGCCGACTTGAGTATCTGCAGTATAAGCTCGGTGGGCAGGCGACAGGCAGGCCGGAGGGAGTTCATAGCGCTGCGAGCATCTGATACTGCAGCTAGGGCAGCATTCAATTCGTCGTTTGCCGCACGCTGTGCCCTTGCCAGGGCTGTAGCCGTGGACGCCTGATTGAGCGCAATACGGAGGATTGGCTCCAGACGTGCTCTCGCGTGGGCTCTCCAAGAAGCTCGCGCCCTTCATAGTGAAGTCAGCATTAGAAAATACAATACGATCACAGGTACACCCACCTATCAGCAGACATCGCGGTCTGAAGCGAAAGCCAAAAGATGTTCGCCGCGTCCACGTGCAAACGCATCACCCACACGAGTCAACATCGTGCGACGACTATGGTTGCTTCTTCCCGCCGCTGCCTTCTCTACTGCTACACCCGAACCAAATAGAGAAAATACCGTTCTGCTGATCTTGCCTATCGGAGCGACAAGGTTGAAAGTCCACGTCTCGGCTGTATTCTGCACGCGTCTCATGCACGATGCCGCGTGCCAACCACACCGGCCACAAGTGCGCCCTCTGCATATAAAGCGAGTTCTTCGCCACCGTACCCCTTCATCAATCTTCTTTCCCTTTCACCCAACCGTAACCGGAAGGCCTGTCCTGTGAATCTATGGGTCTAAAACGTGGCTTTCTTAATACCGAAAAAGGCCGGGCGTCTTTGAGTCTAGAGGATCCTCCCGTGAATGAGGCGGCTAAAGTGTATGTTGGCGCTTCGCATACTGGGTCATCATTTAGGCTGATGATAAGACCTCTTCTTTCATAGGAACCACCTCAAGGCTGAGCTCAGCTCCGAAGGGAAGGCCCCCGCCACAGCCGCCAATGATGCTGTGGCGCCACAAGTCGCCGCGACCTCTAGTGTCGAGCCCAAGAGCGACTCGACGCTCAAGACAGATGCTGGGTACTCGAACTGCACTTGCGGCAAAGGCGCAACCAAGAGTAAAGAGACGTGCGTATCTCATCAACATATGTCTTCCAATAACTGACCGCGCCACAGCCCGCTCGATCTCCACGTCGCTCCTGGCGGCCTCGGCCAAGACCGCGACCGCAACCGCTTCATCTTTCGCGTCTGGCCTCGGGCTTTAGATGGAGAGGTTATCCGTGGTGATCACGCAGAGCACGGCAAGATGACCTCGAACGGATGTCAGATCTGGGGCGATACGTTATACGATCTCTTCATGACCACTCGTATACCTGGACGCCACAACCTTCGCACATTCACGTCTGGAAGCTTGATGCGCGCACACATGCTCAAGTTCGGAGAACTGCATGCTGCGGCAGACGAGCTGGACTGGGCGGCCAGCGAGCCAGAGCCGAAGCAGCTACAGCCGTTCGATATCGGGAAGCTCATACGCGACGCGGATAACCGGACCGGAGGGAGATACCATATGGACTCCATGCTCAACTCTCTACTTCCCACACTTCAGTCCCGCTTGCCTTTCCATCTGCTACCGGAGAAGCTCATCGTGCATGACCCGTGGAACACGCTCTCCATCAGCAAGACGCATCGCGACTCCAACACGGCCTGGTCCGAGAAGGACGACATCGTGCACGCGTACAAACTTTCGCTGTCTCCCGAAGGCAAGGTGAAGGTCAAAGAGGATCGTGAAGCGGCGCAGAAGGTTGAGGCCGAGCGCGTAGAGAAGGAGAAGGACGAATGGCGCGTACTCAACCCCTCACGTACGTCCGACGGGACGATGTCCAACAACTACGCCATCCACGCTAAGGTCCCGTCCCGCCTCCCAAAGCCGAAGAGCATACCCGAAGCGCACCTCTATATCCGTCGCGTCGATCGTGCGGGCACCGGAAACCACTCGGTCGTATACACTGCGCAACTTGAGCTGCCTCGGTGGGCACTCGCCGACGACGTTCTGTGCGAGAGGTGTTGGGGAGCGGCGTTTGAGAAGGAGATGGACGAACGCGTCGCCGCTGGCACCCTCCTCTCCGACGAAGAGAAGGCCAAGACTCCCGAGCTGAAAGTCGTCACGAAGATCGTGAACCCACGCGCGGAGGTTGTGCTAGTCGAGGAAGAGGCGCACGGGAAGGATTGCCGCGAAGCGCGCAACGGGCCGAGCGATATCAAGTACGATCGTGGCTACTGCATGGAGCGCGTCACAGAGCAGCTCCAGACGGCAGAGTTCAGCGGCCCAACGGCGTACATCTACCCCAAGATCGAATGGCAACGACCTGGCGTCACACCGCCATGCGAGCACCTGCGCATTCTTGGCTCGAAGGACGAAGAGATTCCAGCCACGGCGCGCGTCCGCGTGTGCGCGAAGATGAGCATTCAGCACGATGCGCACCTAAAACGCGAGGCCGTGAACTATCAGAAGTTCCCGGACTGGTTCTTCGAGCATTGGAGCGGGTACAACGTCGTTCGTCCGTTACACGACCCGACGCCGTGCGGGGCCATTGTTCCTCAGTTCTACGGGTACTACGTTCCGGAGAAGCCTGCGCACGGAAAGGACGACTACCTTAGTCCTCTGCTCTTGCTCGAGCACTGCGGGAAGGAGATTGAGGTGGACGAGCTCAGTCAGGACGAGCGTAACGAGGCTGCTGCGCTGTACTTTCATTTCCTCGATGGCGGATGGACGCAGGGGAGTATCGCGCCGCGCAACATCTTGTGCCAGCCCGGGCCGAACACGGCTAGCCCTCTGGAACGCATGGCGAGGAGGCCAAGGCAGAGGTGCTTCAGGCTCATCGATTTCGGGAGAGCACTCGAATTGAGTGGGGAGGGCAGTAGATACTGTTTGGATAAGGACGAAGTGTTCAGATTGTTCAAGTTGGCACATTATGCGGAGTAAGCAATCGATTCATCGACACAGAGACATCGTGTACAATATCAAACTGGCAGCACTAGCTTATGAGTAGAATGCCCTTACATCAGTGTGTAAAACAAGCGGCGTTGGAAGCAAAGTATATACAACACCACTCCTATAAGGCCCACGTTTACACGAATAAATCTTCAACTTGAGTTATCGCAGAGGCTCTCCGGGCTAAATCCCTTCTGCGGCGCCCACGCGTGGCCGAAGGGTTCACTGCACAATTCTGCAGCTTCACTTCGATTGAGGTAGACCAGATTTCTCTATCAACCTCAATCATGGAGCACTTTTTCATAACCACGGTGCATAGCACATCAGGCGCGAGTTGCGAGCGAGCGTCAAGAGTGCGACAGAAGTTCGTCTGCGCAATGACCCTTCCAACGCCAAAGGGGTTGTCGAAATCGATTCTTTCGATGTGTAGGTGCCGGAGTTTCGGAAAGAGCAACTGCGTGACATCTTGCACGCGGTTTGGTGATATCGTGCCCTCGCGCCCCTCCTCTTCGTTCGCCGTGCGTAATCCAAGCGCGATTAAGACACTGCTCATACGCGGCCTGACGAGGTATAGTTCCTCAACAGCGCGAGCGTCGGAGAAGCAGCGGATTACATCGTCGGGATGAAGATCGATGTCG